TTGGACATTTCTATATTTCATAAAATAAATATATTTTATATTTATTTATATGGATATATTATGGACAAAAATAAAATTTCTATTAAGATAAAAACTCAGAAATTCTTAGCTTATACAAGCTGTTCAAGCTCCCCAGCTTCCCTCGAATACACATGCACTCTCTTTTACCAAACAAATCATCCTGGCATTAAAAAAATTTTGGAAGAATATTAACATATCCCTCTTCCATCCTAGCTTTGCGCAGTCTCATCCTCTCTTTGCAGAACAACGTCGAAAGCCTCCTAGCTGGTCTTTGAATTTAACCTCTTGCTTCTCTCAGGCCGATCTTCACATTGCTGTCACCCAGCAAAACCACCGAACTGGTGTGGAATACTGCAGGGCGACCTTAGATCACCCACCCTGCCCATACCCCTGGGCCCATCTTCCTTCCCTATTTACTCATTCCCTTCCTTCAACAAATATTACCGACCAAATATTAAGTGCAAACGAAGTTCCTAAGCTAATACATATTAGCATCCAGCCAGTGAGACCAACAGAGAAGGCAATGGCAACCCACCCCAGTACTCTTGCCTGGAAAATCCCATGGATGGAGGAGCCTAGAAGGCTGCGGTCCATGGGGTCGCTTAGAGTCGGACACGACTGAGCGACTTCACTTTCACTTTTCACTTTCATGCATTGGAGAAGGAAATGGCAACCCACTCCAGTGTTCTTGCCTGGAGAATCCCAGGGACAGTGGAGCCTGGTGGGCTGCTGTCTATGGGGCTGCACAGAGTCGGACACAACTGAAGTGACTTAGCAGCAGCAGTGAGACCAACATTCATTCATTAATCACACAAACAAATGTAAAATCCCAGATGGCGCAGATGTACCTAAGTTCAGGACTGGTGAGTCTCACATTTCTGGGAAGCTAAGGAGGGCATTCCTGAGACCTGAAGGATCAAGTGAGAGTGAGGAAAAGTGTTTCAGGCAGGGTGACCAGGAACAAAAGGCTCTGAGACAGGACCAAGGACAGGATGGGAGATGGAAGGATGGAGAGAGCTGCTATGCTGATTCAGAGAAAAGTGATGGGAGAAGGGTCCTCGGAAGCTGGAAAGATAGAAACTTATCCAGAGTCTTACAAACAGAAAATGTAGTGAAACTTCAAACCCAGGTACTCTGTCTGGAACCCTCCCCTACAACATATTTCTATCCACAAATTAGAATCAAACATCCACTCTGTGCTAGGCAATGTGCTGGATGCTTCAGACACAAGTCAGACAATGATAAGCAAAACCAAATAGAATCCGTGTTTCCCAGGAGCTCACAATCCAGCAGAGGAGTCAATCACATAATCGACAAGTAGCATAAAGCTGGAGGTTTTATCACTGTTACTAAAGCAAACGGTGATATGAAAAGAGCATTAAATCTAGTCCAGAGTGCTCAGACTTGTTTCTGCCAAAGTGAACAACTACACTGAGATCTGAAAAGCCAAACATCCACTAGGTACAAGCGGGAGAAGGCTGTTGAAAGCCAGGGGCATACCTGCTTGGGAGGCTCAGGGAGGAGGAAGGTGATCCAATGTGACAGACAGGTGCCAGTCTACAAAGCCCCAGGCCAGCTTCCCAAGTGTGTGACCAGGGCGGTAGCATCGGGCCCAGCTCTCTCCAAAGGGCCTCGACCTTAATGTGACACTCTGTGGTGGCCATCCTGAAATTCTTAACCATTTTATCTTTGAACCTGTGTTTTGTAAGTGAAGCCCAACAGGACAATGGAGAATGCACAGGAGTGGTGAGGACAGACACTCAAAAACATGCCTCTAGGAGGCCTGGGGCACCCAGCCAAGGGGGCTAGAGCGGGAGCTGGGTCCAAGCGGCAGCAGCAGAAGGGCGCCACCAGCCTGCTGGTCCACCCCAGAGCCTGTCCCTAAGGCACCCTACAGATACTAAATGCTTCAGACTGAACCTAATGACAGGAACTCTGTCAAGACTTAAATCTTTTAAGAAAAAACTTTCTACAAGAATCATCAGCTCTAAATGTACTGCAACCTATACTTGTAAATAACTACTTTCAGCCCTGTGTATCCACAGATTCAACCAACTACAGATCAAAAATATTTAGGACAAAATTTCAGAAAGTTCCAAAAAGCAAAACTTGAATTTGGGACTTCCCTGGCAGTTTAGTGGTTAAGACAGTATTTCCACTGCAGGGGCTGCAGGTTCAATCCTGGTGGGAGAACTAGATCCCACAGGCTACAACTAAGACCTGGCTGGATGGCATCACCGACTCAATGGACATGAGTCTGGGTAGGCTCTGAGAGTTGGTGATGGACAGGGAGGCCTGGCATGCTGCAGTTCATGGGGTCACAAAGAGTCAGATGCAACTGAACTGAACAGTAAGTAACTGAAGGAGGTTTGACAATCTTCAGTTAAATTGCTCAGTCGTGTCCAACTCTTTGTGACCCCATGGACTTCAGCACGCCAGGTATCCCCAAATAATTAGTTCACCTGCTTTCTATTCCCACTACCCCGAAGGCTAAAAACCACACATTGGTAACAGATGAACCTGCGTTGGATTCCCCACTCTACCACTTTCTTTGAAAATTTAGGTAAATTACTTAACATCTACATATTTCAGTCCCTTAGTCTTTCATGAAAATGAAAGTAATAACTACCTCGCAGTTACTGATGATCAAATAACGTAATACATGTGAAGTGGCTGACATAGTGCCTCACACACAGTGAGCACTGGGTAAAATGTCAGCTGTCGCTCTTAAGATGGACTGCAGCTTCCATCTGGGAAACCACGCAGTCTCTGCTACATATCCACACTGTCAAACAGTAAGTGGACTTTCCAAAAAGAAATTTTCTATTTTAATAACACTTGTTTCAATACTCTTCTCCTCTGGAAAGATTTCAAGTATGTAAACAGATACCAATACAACACACAGGAGAGGTGGTGAGGCAGAGCAGAAAGAGACCCAGCTTTAGAGCCACATATGGGAGTTGTAGATCTAATTCAGCCACAAAGTAATTATGTAACCTGGGCCACTTAAGCTCTCTCTCAACCTTGTAAAGGCGTTGCAAGGATTAACAAATTATGTAAAGCATCAAGTACAGTGTCAGGCAGGTGATATGCACTCAATTACTAGTATTTACTCGGACTCCTCCCCCCTACTCCCTTACAAGTGATAAGAATAGCTTTGCCAGGAAGAGAAAAGGTCCTAGCAAGCACAAATACTAGCCAGTACTAAGACCAACTATGAAGGACAACTATTTTATATTAGTTGCCATGAGAACTAAAGCAGTGTTTTGGGGGGGAGGGGGTCACATACTCCTTCCAAAGTCTAATGAAAACAGGGCCTCTGCCTTATAGAAAATTTCCAGATATCTCAGGAAACGCTCTAAGTCAGAGATTTTAAGAACATGGTATTTAAGGGAAATAATAGCTAGTTTTTTTCTGGACTTAAGTCGCCAGAGTCTGAAAACGTTCCCTAAGTCACTTTTTGTGATAAAACGATTCACCTAACTTCGCTCATATTGCGGCAAGTAAACCCTGCTTTAATTAAACTTCTCAGCTTCATAAGTTAAATTTCATAAGCTATCTGGTGTTGAGTGTTAAAACTTGATAAAAGGAACTACGAACTATATGAGAATTAGTTCAAAAGACTTAAAATGTGATGCCTGAACATATAACCCAAACACCTAACCAAAAGGGGGTAAAAGGTGAAAAAAGGTACCGAAGATTGCTGCATCCAATTCTTAATAAGGCTGTTTGTCAATTCAAGGAATCAAGCCTCTTCCAGAGAAATCAAAAACACGGAAGTCGTGGTTTACAAAAACAAAACTGAGCCAGCAAGTAGTTTATTGAGTAACTAAACATGGTTTATCCTTGCTTCTACTCTGTGAGTGGAATGCCTTATTCTGACTCGGCCTCACCTTCTCGAGTAGGTAATAACCTACTGACTAAATTGTTGTGTTCATTGTACTGCAGCAGGAAAAAGTCCACGAGAGCTGCACACCCAACTCTCCCCAACGCACGACCCACACGGAGCTCGGTCCCAAACTTGTGCCCCAATGACCTTGGTCCTAGGATTCCCCTCCCTCCCTCCCGCCGCTCCTTCTTTGAGCGGCCGGCTGCGGCTCCCCAGCCGCGGTCGCAGGTGGGAGAAAGCGCTCGGGGACCCAAAAGCATGAGCGGAACCACAGCTTCAGACGGCACCCGGGCCATGCCAGCCCTCCGCCGGCACCCGCTCCCCAGCGGCGCGCACAGCCCCGACCTAGCGCCCGCCTCCCCCAGACCCCGAGCGGAGGGCCGGGGCGCACGAAGCATTCCTTCGGCCCCACTCGGTGGCGCGGCTGGGGCGCCACACAGTCAGGGAGCGGCCAGTCCGGCCAGGGGCGCCGAGGCAGGAGCGCAGAAGGAGGAGAGTCCTGCGCCACGCCACCGCTGCCTGCTCCAGCCCTGGGCTCCCTGGGAGGCCCCGGCCGGTCACCAGTCCGGCGGGCGCCAAGGCCAAGCACGGAAGCGCCGGCAGAGACCGCGGGCGCGGGGCGCGGGGGCGCGGGCACTTACCATCAGAACTTTGGCCGCGTTCTCCAGCTGAGCGATCACTTCTGAGGGCCCCAGCGCCGCCGCCATCATGGTCTCTCTTCAATGACGCGCCATGCGCTGCATTCTGGGAGTGGGCGCCCGGCCGGCCAATCGCGAGATTCCTCGGGCTCGCGCGCTCCCGCCCGAGCCGTCGCGGCCGCCGACGTCGACGCAGGGTCGCGGGGTCACGGGTGCGGGCGGGCGAGGGCTGTGGGCGCTCCCCCGGGACCGGCCGCCTCCCGGCCCGCCCGTTCGCTCGCAGCCGGTCCCGGGGGCGCCTGCGGCCTTGCTGTGTTCTCTGTAATGCGTCCCTCCCAGGCAGGGCGACTTGCGCCCCGCGAGAGCGCGTGCCCCCGTGCGACGCCGGCGCGGGACCGGGCTGAGGTCGGGGCCAGCCCCCGCGAGGCCGACTTCCGGGCGCAGCAGACGGACAGGTCTGGCAGGGGCTCAGAGCCCAGCTTCCCTACCCGAGCCTGAGAGCGCCCTGTCCGCGCTCGCGCCGGCCCTCACTGCTGGAGACCAGGCTCTGTTCTGAGCGACACCTGCGTACCTGCTACTAGCTTCCACCTCTTGGTGCCGGTCTGCTTCTTGGGGTACACAGAAAGTCAATTTCGTTTCAGTGTAAGTTTCCTCTGTTAACAACTTCCTTTATTTCCTCTTCCAATTGTAAATAAGCCATATTTGCGGAGTTTTCCCTTTTTTATGTCCCTGCAGCAGAATTGCATTGTTAGCTTCTTTGAGAAACGAGTTATATTTGGCATCTCTACAGCATGAAGTTGAGGAAGTGAATTAACAAGGTTTTTATTGCTTCAGAAACAAAGGAAGTACCTCTTATTTCGTTATAAAAGGGCAAAGTGAGTGCAGTTAATAGCTTTTTAAAAAATTGTGTGAAATTGGTTTACATAGTGCCTCACATGTAGAAGGCATTCAGTAAATATTTCACCAAGTACAAACGTCTGGACTTAATGATTTTACGACTATTCCATGGTGTGAAGCGATACATATTCATTAGAAACTGTACTTCAAATTTTGATCTCTTCCTGGGCAGCATGTGCGGTCTGATACCGACGTGGTGCACAATCAGGAAGGTGAACAGCTGATATCTTAGAAACATTCTGTTTTTCACTTTCAGTACCGTGTTCACTAAATTAAATGAGACAGTCAACACTATTATAAAATAGACTCGCTATGAGATGATTTTGCCCAGCTGGAGGCTAATATAAGTGTTCCGACCACCTTTAATGCAGGTGAGGCTAAGCTGTGAGGTTTGGTAGGTTAGATGTATTAAATGCATTTTCAGCTTATGATGTTTTCAACTTATGATAGGTTTATTGGGACTTGACTCAATCATAAGCCATGGAAGATGTGTATAGCAATCTGCAAGATTACAGTGTCTCTACCTGCTACCAAGAGTTATCACTTTAGATCAAAGATACATCTTCAAAAGTGTAGACAAATGAGTATTTTATGACATTAAATGTTTGAGGCTTATAATGCTTCATATTGTGCCCTGTGTTCCAGAGCATTTGTTTTGTGCAGCTACACAAGAGCTTTGCATCAAGATGCTCTTTAAGAATGAAGAAGAAAAGGTATTTTATTAAATGTGAAGATGAGTATGCTTCCTTTCAAATTAGCTTAGCATTTTGAAGTTACATCTCAACATAATGGAGCCATAAATTTTAGGACAGGGTTGTAGACTCTCACTGTTGAAAGATACTAGAATTTACCTTCTACTTTAGCCTTTTCTCCAGTGTCTGACTCTTGTTATTTCTTGACTTATTATTCGACAGTAGCACTCTCCTGGGGTGGTTGGTGGGGCAGAGTAGTGTCCCTGCCTACCCACATAATGCTTCACATCCTTAAGTAGAAGAAAGTTGTCAGATTCCAATTTCTCACTTGACACAAAAGAGAAATATTTATGGTCTAAGAATCTGCTCGAAATGTTCCTGGAATCAAGAACAATTCACAAATACTACATCTCCTATACTCTTAGGGTATGCCTTTAACACTTGTGATGTCATGGGCTCCAAAAGTGATTAGTTGAATATATTGTATACTTTTCCTTGGAAACAGGTTTAGTTTGGGGGATGTGGGGTGGTTTTTTGGTCTTTGTGTGTGTGTGTCAAGCCATAAACATCTTGTCAACATAAACATGCTGATTGAAATACCTTGGAGCAACAGTTCTCAGAGCGTAGGCTAGGGACACTTACTAAGCCTCGGAACATCAAGGAGATCCCTAAGATCCTATCAGAGGATCTTGGTCAAAACTGTTTTCAGATGGCTTTAGTCCTATAGCCATGGATGGATGGCATCACCAATTCAATGGACATGAACTTGGGCAAACTCCAGGAGATAGTGAGGGACAGGGTGGCCTGGCTTGTTGCAGTCCATGGGGTCACAAAGAGTCAGACTGAGTCATGACTCAGACTCAGTCATGACTGAGCAACTGAACAACAACTTAGTGACTAGTCCTATCAGTAACTACTTTGAATTGATTTAACTCCCCAATCAAGACACAGATTAGCTAAATGGATTAAAAACACAGGATCCAACTATCTGGTCCCTCTTACTACTTCTATTCAACATACTAATGGATGTCTTAGCCAAAGCAATTAGGCAAGATAAATAAAAGGCATCCAAATCAGGAAGAAGGATTATCTCTGCACAGATGACGTGATCTTATTTTTTTTGTTGTTAGTTTAAAATTTTATTTTTTAAAATTTTTAAAAATATTTTTATGTAATAAAAAGTAAAAGTCCTTGTCCAACCATCCTCGCGGGGCATGTCTGTTTCTCTTACACAGGTGACTCAAGTTAATGGGGAAGAAAGAACAGGGGGCCCAAGGTTATAAAAGATCTTCGTCTCCAGCGGGGAGGGGGGGATAGATGAGAGGACGGGAGGGCAAGATGGGGTGGGGATGGGCAGGGGCAGAGCAGGAACCCCCCCCCACCCCCGCTGGACCCTGGCCCTACCCACTTTGAGGCCTTTCCCATTCAAGGTGCTTGGCAGGAATTCCCCAGCTCCCCAGGGGTGGGGAAAGGGGGTGGGGGGCTGGGACTGGTCGGAGCTGCTGGGGGAAGAGACATAGATCACTTTTCCCTCCACTCATGGAGGTCGACGTTATCTTATATACAGAAAATCCTAAAGATTCCACAAAAATCTATTAGAACTAATCAATGAATTCCACAAAGTTACAAAATATAAAATGAATTTTAAAATGTCAGCTGCATTTTTATATACTAACAATGAGCCGTCAGGAAAGGAAATTAAAAAACCGTTTCAGGGGATTCCCTGGTGGTCCCATGGTTAAGAACCCACCTTCCACTGCAGGGGACTCAGGTTCCATCCACACACCCCACACAACCCCCCCCCCCCCCCGGGGAAGGAAGATCCCACATGCCTCAGAGCAATTAAGCCCTTAACCTGGCAAGCAGCAACTACTAAGCCAGCATGCCACAACGGAGAGCCTGGGTCCCACGTGCTGCAGCTAAGGCCCAACGCAGCCAACTAAATATTTGTTTGAAAAATTTTATCCAAGTCAAAACTACAATGAAGCCTTACAAGGAACATAGATAAAATTATGCAACAGAGTGAGAGATTATTCTATTTTACTTGAGAGGCTCAAGAACAAATCTCTTTTTTAAAAGGCATTTCTAAACCCAAATTAAATGGCCACACTTAATAATTCTCTATCAGTAGAGGACACCTGATCTAGAAAGTGTTAAGGGATCTTATAACCCAAAGTTCTGAAAACTTTGAAGGCAGCAGTATAGAACCGAATGTATTATGGTATCAAATTTATAGGAGCTTAATATATTTGTCCAGAAATAAAAACATAAGACTAAAAGGGAACTATGTCTTCAAAATATCTCCTTTGTACAGAAAGTATATTTCTGTACATATGATACGTCTGTGAAATGTTATTGAGTTCTTAAATATTAAAATACTTGATTAACATAGCACAGTTCTGATGTCTATCAAAGTAACTGTAAACAGCAGTGCTTTATCCCTCCTGTTCTCACAACGTATCATCTTGAAATTTATTTCTAAACCAGTTTAACCAAGTGCAATATTCCATCTTCCTTATAAAGTTGAATGTTATAAGGCATCCATCCCATTAAAATTTTTGAGACCGGGATGAAGACCTCTTTTCCAGAGAGGTCTCTGGAATTCCGACAACCCAGCAACCTAAAGGCATGAGTTGCACCAGATTTCCAAAGGCTTTACCCAAGCCCCCTGCTGCTGGGGAGCCTCCGGGTGCCCAGCCGGCCAGAGGCTCAGTCCAAGGAGCGACCACCTAAAGGGCTACTGTGCCATCCTAGTGCATGATGTCATGGTGTGGAAAGGCCACCCGAGGGTAGGCCTGGTTTAGCCTGGAAAACAAATTATAGATGCGTCAGGGGCAAGACAGAAGATGCCATGGAGAGGCGGCAGAGGGATGCTGTAGTTTGTCAGGGTTCAGAGCCTGGAGCTCAGGCAGAGTAGAGGCAGGGGTCCAGTCGGGACAGAGGGGAGCCTCAGCCTGGGACCAAGTTCCTCTCAAGCAGGCCTGATCAGGCTCTTCAAATGATGCCACAGGACTGACATTTCAAGATGTCCTTTGCTTATGGAGAAGAATCAGAGCCAAAGCTGCTAGCAGTGGACAAAGGACTGCCCAGCTGGGCTTCTGCTGCGAGTTCTTGGGAGTGGGGTCTGGAGGGGGCCTCCCATCCCAGGGACAGGGCTGGCTTGTCTGAGAACAGCAACTAGGACTTGGTTCCTGCCTCAGTCTCGGGCCTGAGCCCTGTGACCAGGAACTGACAGTGACACCTGCCTGGGTTCTGACAGAACAGAGGCTGGTGGAGGTGGTTCCTGATGGACACCCCAGGAGTCCATCACTAGCCCCCAGAGATGATCTGGGGGGTTGTCAGTAGAGCTCTGCTTTTTTCTGAATGCCTTAAGACAACAGGAAATTGGCAAAAGTGGGGCTTGATTTATAAATGTCCTGAAGCTGCTCCTGTCCCTGTTCGTGGTGTCTGTCCTCTGACCTGTGGGCAGCCCTGGGCCTGCACAGAGGTGTCCTGCCATCCCCACACAGCTGTCATCTCACTTTGAGCCCTGAGGGCATCCTCCAACAAGATACAGATGTCACAAACAATGGCATTTGGATTCTCTAATCTGAATATTCTGGGTCATTATTGATGGCAACTTTGCCAAATGTTCCAAAATATTCTGATTCTTTTAAAGCCTCTGATAAGCTGGGCAAGAGGAAGACTCACAGCAAAGATGATGTTTGTGCAGTGCAGACACCAGGCAGTCCAAAGCCGTGGCTTCTGTCTTCTCTTGTTTTGTGTCTGTGTTTTCCTCATTCTTTATCCTCCTCCACTCTTCCTGGGAGGGTGGGCTGTTACCGCAGGGGCTTCTGGACTGCCCCTCTACCTGCCGGACCAAGCCCTGTGTTGTCACTGCAGACCTGACGCACCCAGCAGCCACGGGGGTGAGGGCCTGCCTCACAGACGCCCAGAGGAGAGCAGCCACTCCGCCCGCCCGCCCAGACGGCCCAGCCGGCTCTAAAACAAGATTTCAAGAACCAACCTGCTGCTCTGGCAAATGCACCCACCAGGAAGAGCCTCCTCTGACACGTCTGGAGAGAAGGAACAGGCTATTTGGCAACTGCTGATTTGCCTGCTTTTTTGACAGCCTCGGCTAGCTTGGTTCCACTGTCCCCAAGACCAGTTGCCCCACTGCACCTGGCCTCGTCCCTGCAACTGCCGCCCTCCCCCCAGCAGCGTTCTTGCCTCCTGCTGCGACTGCAGGCCTTCAACACAGCGCAAGCCCACAGCCTCTCAAAGACTGCCCTGGGGGCCCTGTCAGCTCTCCTCTCTACCCTGCATGTTTACCTAAAAGAAGAAAGGGTCCTGGGTCCTGGTTTAAGTAAAACTGTTCTTTCTATAGCCTTAAATAATTTTCTCTCCAAGTTCGATGAAAGTAATGACTATGGAACTTATTCACAGAATCAGCTAATCCCATCTGTTTTATAGTTTGTCCTGCAAAAAATCTGTGATAAATATATGTAGAGACTAGGACTTCCCTAAAGATCCTGCATGCTGCAACAAAGATCCAGCACAGCCAAATAAATAAATACTTTTTAAGAATTTCTGTAGAGACTTCTAGGGCTTTTTAAACATTTAAGCTTCCACTTTAAGGATTTAATACGTGCCACGTGGTACTCAATTATACACACTAAACACAGTGCTGCCCAATGTATTTTTGACTCAATGTGTACTGAACAAATAGTAGGTGCCCATAATGATTCAAAGTAAGCCACACTATTCTGGGATCCCTTGACAGTCCAGTTTTTAAATTGGGGGGGGAGAAGGGGAGAGGAAGGAGACATACTGTAGATTTGCCTTAACAAAATAGAAATCTGCACTATATTTATCGCTTGTAAGTGACTGAGTAGATTCAACAGCACCTTCCTGGAATATATAGATATAAAAAGAAAGAACACATTACATGAATAAAAAGAAAGTCCTACTGTAGAGCTCAGGGAACTATATACAGTCTCCTGGGATAAACCATAATAAAGAATATATATAATATTCTATACAGTATTTTAGTATTTATATATATAGGGACTTCCCTGGTGGTCCAGTGGTTAAGACCCTGCACTTCCACTGCAAGGTGAATTGGGTTCAATCCCTGATCGGGGAACTAAATTCCCACAAGCCTTGTGGTGTGGCCCAAAGAAAGAAAAAATGTGTATGTGTAAGTCTCTTTGCCATACAGCAGAAATTAGCACAAAACTGTAAATCAACTAGACTTCAACTATAAAACATGAAAGAAAAACACTGCAATTTGTGGGTGGTTTAGTAAGAATCCCTCCCTACTTTCCGCTCCCTAGAAAGGACCTACCAGGACATTCTGTGAGTGCCAATCTTAAAGTAAGTGCAGATCTTACTTGCAAAAGCACATCACCAGCTCCCTCTGCTGTCTGTTGGTTGGACTTGGAACTCTGAGATTCAGAATCTGTGGTACTTTCTGGACTAAAATACTGTACAGGATTCAGGATAAGTTAAGACTGGATTAGGCACAGGTAGGTCTATTCTGTATATATTACATATTCCAGAGTAAAGGAAAGCAAACCACCAAACAAATTTGCAGAAGGGATTCCTACATATATTTTCACTATAATAGTGTCTGTTTTTGCTTCAGCTATGACCTCTTGCTGTGAAGAAGTAAGACTTGCAACATTTATGTGTTTATTTAGTATAAATTACACCGTCCAGAAGAGAAACATGCAAAGCAAATTGACTTAAGACAATTCAGATGATCTCATGAAGTTACTTGTGGAAGATCAGAGCAGAGCAGCCAACACCCACCGAGAGAGTTCTGAAGCCTCTGGGTGTGAACTCCACTGACCCAAACAGCTAAGCACCAACAGAAAATTCCCAAACTGCTTGAGATGGCACCTGGGCCACCTCTGCCTTGAACTGAAGCTTTCATCTCCAGTTCATCAGCTCTTTAAGGTCAAAATTCTGGGGTGGGGGGGAACAGACAACTAATAAATTAGGAAGAAACCCTGAAGCTGTATTTAGGTTAATTTTATTTTCTTTTCCTGGCCTTAAAGTATTTTTCATTCCAAGTATTAAAGCCTTCTTGAAATCTCCAAGATGGAAAGTGATTATAGAAATAGTGTGGTTCACTGGGGATAACATTTACATAGTTGTAGGAAGAAGGAAAGTTATGACCAACCTAGACAGTGTTATTAAAAAGCAGAGACATTACTTTGCCAACAAAGGTCCTTCTAGTCAAGGCTATGGTTTTTCCAGTAGTCATGTATGGATGTGAGAGCTGGATCATAAAGAAAGCTGAGCGCTGAAGAATTGATGCTTTTGAACTGTGGTGTTGGAGAAGACTCTTGGAGAGTCCCTTGGACTGCAAGGGGATCCAACCAGTCCATCCTGAAGGAACTCAGTCCTGAATATTCACTGGAAGGACTGATGTTGAAGCTGAAGCTCCAGTACTTTGGCCACCTGATGCAGAGAACTGACTGGAAAAGACCCTGATGCTGGGAAAGACTGAAGGTGGGAGGAGAAGGGGATGACAGAGGATGAGATGGTTGGATGGCATCACCGACTCAATGGACATGAGTTTGGGTAAACTCCAGGAGTTGGTGATGGACAGGGAGGCCTGGCGTGCTGCAGTCCATGGGAACACAAAGAGTCGGACACAACTGAGCGACTGAACTGAGTAACATGCTAATTATCAACTTTACCAAAAGTCTGACAAGTGTGTATCAGGAAGATGGGAGTGGGAAGGACAGGCCTGGGCAGGGGGAGAAGAGGGCTTAAAAGGAACTAAATTCTCATCTTCTGTAACAACAGGAAGTTAAGTACGTCATGCCAAGATGAAAAACTCAAAAAAGATACTGCTTTCCAAGAATACAATCTGGATATGAGTCCTCTGTCAGATCTGTGCACAGGTAATATTCACCCATTTTCATAATGGTGACTTTATTATTTTGAAAAAGATCTTTATTTGCTTTGTGAAAGTTGCTCAGTCGTGTCTGACTCTTTGCAACACCAAAGACTGTACAGTCCAAGGAATTCTCTAGGCCAGAATACTGGAGTGGGTAGCCTTTCCCTCCTCCAGGGGATCTTCCTGATCCAGGAATCAAACCGGGGTCTCCTGCATTGCAGGTGGATTCTTTACCAACTGAGGTATCAGAGAAGCCCTTATTTGCTTTACATAGCAGTAAAAATTATACATCATGTATATCTGGGCTCAGTCACTAAGTCATTCCAACTCCTTTGTGACTCCTTGGACTATAGCCCATCAGGCTCCTCCGTCCATGTAATTTTCCAGGCAAGAATACTGGAGTGGGATGCCATTTCCTACTCCAGTGGAAAGTTTTAATTTTTATGAAGCCAAATGTATTTTCTTTTACTTTTAGTGTTCTATTTAAGAAGTCCTTTCCTTCTTCACGATGGTAAGAAATTTTTCTGTTTTCATCTAGCTTTTTAGGTGAAACGTTTATATTAAATCTATGATCCCTGTCGAAGTATTTTTGTGTATATTGAATTAATCATTGGCTTGTGTTTTCCATTTACTGTTTTTTATATCCTCCTCTCAAATCCAATCCCAAACTGTTCTCCAAGCATCGATCTCCTCTAAGGCAGGTAAATTACCTCTTTCCAGCAAAGGTCATCTCCTACACCCTCTGACCGAGGATCTGAGCAAGCAGCCCACCCCCCACACTTGGGGCACAGCTGTCCTTTGGGACCCCCAACAGCCCCCAGGAGCCCCCTCCCTCCTCCCCTTTGTTGGAGCCCGTGTCTGCCTCCAGCTTTCTGGGAAAATATATGGGAAGAAAATATTCTGAATTCTTGAATGTCTGAAATGTCTTTATTCTACCCTCATACTCAACTAATGACGTGTCTGGATTGAAAACAACTGTGTGCTCAGTCGCTCAGTCACGTCAAACGCTTTGTGACTCCATGGACTCTAGCCCACCAGGTTCCTCTGACTGTGGGATTTTCCACTGGAGTGGGTTGCCATTTCCTTCTTTTCACACAATTTGAAGGCCTTATTCCATCATCCTCTAGTGTCTAGAATTGGTGTTACCCTCAAAGTCGTTCTTTTTATTTTTTGGTTCTGATTCTTGATCCTTTGTATATGAACTGTTTTATCTCTCTGAAGTTTGCAGGACTTTCCCTTTGTTCCAAACATTCTTGAATTTTCTGATGATGTACATTTATTTTTATGATTCTATTTTTACCCATTAATTCTGGGCACTTCAGGTCCTTTCAATCTAAAAATATACCCCTGGGACTTCCCAGAGATCCATTGCTCCCAATGCAGGGGGCCTGGGTTCAATCCCTGGTCAGGGAACTAGATCCCACATACCACAACTAAGAGTTCACATGCCATGACTAAAAGATCCCACACACCGCAACTAAGACCCCAGCACATTAAAAAAAAAAAAAGTGCATTAGTATATAATGGAATTGCCAGAAAAAATAACACAGAAGACATGAGAGAGGCTGGGGATCAGGAGATGGCAAGAGATGGAGACTCTTTAAAAAAAAACACGTAATTTTGGGACTTCCCAGGTGGTCCAGTGGTCAAGACTCTTGGCTTGTACTGCAGGGGGGCACAGGGAGGCAGGCTTCTCTCAGTCCTGTATCTACAAGCTACTGTGATCCTTTTGAAGACACTAGTCACCAGCTTAAGAAGGCTAGAAACGTGATTTTAGGAGGGTCCGTGTTTGGAACAGCAAGCAGGAAAGGAAAAGGGTGAGATGCTGCTGAGTGGAAGGCAGTGCTAGACTCTGGATGGTCAGGGGACCTGCTTCTCCACTGCCCAAGTGTGAATGACACAGGAGAAACAGATGAAGGCCAACTGCTCACACTAGTCCCCTGATTCTGCCAGATGTCAGTACCAGGATTAATGCAGAGCCAGAGGACCCTTCTCAGATCCCAGCTATCCAACATGGATCCTGGCTACATGTGGCAGTGAGTTTGAGACACAAGGCTGGTGTGACTGAGGAAGTGAGCTGTGAATCTTCATTAGTTAAAACTGAAATTGAAACCCACTTCAACACAGACTTTTCTTCTAAAACTCCTGGACACTGTATACCAAATAGAAGATCTTGAAAGGTGGGGAGGCAGGAAAGCTGGGGCCCAGGACTACATAGCACTAAGTTCTCTCGGTATTCTCTTTGCCTCCACATTCCAGATTTGGAGCTGAAGCCAGCAACCTGGAAATGTCAACAAGCCCAACCCCCTGGCACTCCTGCCAGAGGTGAGGGGCAAATGGGCAATAACTGCTCCACTCCAGCCAATCAAACCAGAAAACTCTGCCCCCCTATGCCAGCAGAGCTCCCCAAAGTCCCTGCTAGGGTGCTGGGCAGGATGCTGAGATCTCCAGGCCACTTGGCTGGTGATGCCTCCCCAACATGGGAGACTAAGAGGAAAGCTGGGCCCACGCAAGTGGAACCCTGTCTCCACAAGGTCAGGGTCCGAGATGGCCTGGTGGAGCGGCAACTGCCCAGTGGTGACCATGTGACTGCACCTTTCAAAAGAACAATTCAGAATCAACCAATAACAGCTTCTGGAGCTCTTAATAACCATTGACCATTCTGAAGCAAAGGTGGGGTGCTACCCTTGTACTGTCAGTGTGACTGTCTTGGGCAGGGCAATCGGCTCCCACTCACGATCTATCTGACAGCCCACTGACCCTACTCAGCAATCTAACGCCGTACACCCATCACCACCTTCGGGAAGAAAGCTGGTCGCAGAACCGCACCTGGACTTGGACCCTGTGCTGTGACCTGAAACCCAGTCTCCAAACCCCAGACCTTTCCCAAGACAAGAGCTCCTCTCCCTCGCAATGGCATCCCCCGCTGTGTCTGAATCATGGGGAAAGCACACGAGACAAACAAGAACTTACAAATTTCAATAAAATTTGACACCTAGGGATTTGGATTCAAACTTTTAATAATAAATTGTGCCAGTAGAAGCTTTTCAAAGGCAATGATATATCAATAAATAATAGTTAAATTGAGTTCCTGAGAAAGAACCTACCACATGAAGGCTGTCAAAGTGTAAATAACACGGCGTTACTGCAAAACTAGAGAAACATTGACAGTCACGACACAGCACAGCAGACTCAGAACCTGCCACTCATACACATGTAAACCAGTACACAGGAATCTTCTTCTTCAGTTTAGACATCCATAGACATGTGAGTGTTGCTGCCTAGAGATACACTAAGTAATGGATACATTATGCTAAAAACCTCAAGGAAAAATACGTGAATATAACAAAAAATATGATGCATCAGGTTTTTAAAAAGCAAAAAAGAAATTTAACTTTTTATTCAAATATAAATCACTTTAAATAGGAATCATACTAATTTGAAATAGGAATATTTTGTGTGTTTATCTATATAGTTATATATACATCTATACTCCTAAGAAAATATGTATGGCTTAATTATCTTTTTTTCCCCCTCCAATATCACTTTGAATAGTCCTTGCTGTTTCACAAAGATTAGAAAAATGTGCTTTTAAAACCGAGTTAAGTTGGATCCTTCAAAGCACACTAAAAGCACTGCAGAGAAAACTCTCCACAGGTCTGAACGGTGGGGTTCTGGCTCCCTGTGTCGGCTGGGCCACAGGACAGCATCCTGACTGGCGAGACAGACAGAGGTCCATGGCTAACTTACTTTTTTTGGCAGAGCTAAGTGAATCCCTTTTGATGTACACAAGTTTAGTGTAGGACAAATGTCTTTGCCCCCTCAAAGAATCCAATCACACCCATGACACATACAGTCACATCTCTCAGGTACACGTGCATTTCTGAAGTGAGAGAGGAGGGGGTGCAGTCACAGCGAGGAAGTCACTCACGATGCGGCATCAGCACACTGTCCAGAACGACTCATCCAAGGACACTCAGTAAAAACGTATTCACAGAACCTGCTGTGAATGGCAAGACACGGTCACGTTATATTAATAATAGAAAAACCCTGTTCATGCTCTCTCCATACCTGATGTCTGAAGTCACACCCGCATGATCAACTGCTCACACTTCCTATTATGCTATAATATGCAAAAAGAGAACAGAACAACAAAAGCAGCTTTTAACATATATCACAATTTTGAAATGTGGGAAAAATATAAAACAAAAACTGTTGTGTGAATAAAATGGTATCAGCAACATCAGGACATCAGGACAGTGTTATCTTTTTTTTTTAAACATTATTGCACAGAGATTTCTTATCACATGTTCTTCAATCTTTATGTCTTTCCCTAATGTGAGTAAGTGCTGTGGATAAAATACAAACGTAGAAAATAACAGCAGCATGATTTGTCAAAATTAATCCCTATAATTTAATAAGAAAAATGGCTATAAACAAAATAAGTGCTCTTTCTACTGTACTGATTTAAAAAATATTGTTTTAATGTCGTGAAGGTCCTCAAAGCTAATTCCAGGCTGCGCTGACACCTCCTGCCTCCACCAGAACCTGGAGATGCAGACCTCAGAGGTGAGTCCTCTTTCAGAAGCTTTTCCGCTTTGGTTTTGGGGGGCAACCAGCCAACTGACCTGACGGGCTGACATTCCCGTCCACCAGTCTACACGTACACGGGCTGGCAGCCCCCGGCCTGCGCCCCCAGGGCCGGACCCACCGAAGTCGGCTGCTCAGCCTCGGTCACGGCTTCAGCCACTGCAGGCTTGGGGCAACGGAATGGGTGGCCGTTGTCATCGAAGAACCTCCGGAAGGTGAACTCGTAAAAGGCATGTTCAGGGTGCCGGCTGCCTGTAGGGCCCAGCGCATCCCAGGCTTTGGAGCTGTCCTCACTGCCATCCTGCCAGGGGCCCTCCTCATCCACTGGGTCAAAGTTGGATGTGTCCATGGGGTGGCTGATGGTGGGCACGTAGGGGGCTGGCTGCCTCCGGATGTCACTGGAGAAGTCGATGGCGCCCAGGAACGGGTGGGCCTTCAGATCATCAGCCCCATTGCGGCCTAACCGGTGCTCAGCTGCACAGCACAGCTTGGCAATGAGGTCCCGGGCCTCGGGGCTCAGCTCCACCTGCGCAGGGATGTGCAGCGTGCTCTCCCAGTTAATCACCTGCGGGGACAACACACCCAGTGTTCCCTCCTCACTCTCGAGGCCAAAGAGGGCCATTATAGGACAGAGTGTTAAAGAAATGATTGTTTCTCAACATCACTAATCATCAGGGGAATGCAAATCAAAACCAAAATGAGCTATCACCTCACACAAGTCAGAATGACCATCATCAAAAAGCTGACAAATAATAAAGGCTGAAGAGGGTGTATGGAGAAAAGGGAACCCTCCTACACTATTGGTGGGGATGTAAACTGGTGCACCACTCTGGAGAACAGTATAGAGGTGTCTTACAAAACTAAAATTAGACTTAGCATATGACCCAGCAATCCCACTCCTGGGCATAAATCCAGACAAAACTCTAATTCAAAAAGAAACATGTACCCCTGTGTTCATAGCAGCTCTATTTACAATAGCCAAGAAGAAAACTAAATATCCATCAACAGATGAACTGATAAAAAATGTGGTCTATATATACAATGGAATTCTACTCAGCTATAGAAAAGAACAAAATAATGCCATTTGCAGCAACATGGATGAACTTAGAGATTGTCATACAAAGAGAAGACAGACAAATACCATATGATATAGCTTATAGTGGAATCTAAAATACAAAATGAACTTAATTACAAAACAAATAGACTTACACTTGTGTAATTAAGTTCATTTTGTATTTTAGATTCTATACATAAAACAGATAACAACGGCTGACTGGATAGCACAGAGAATTATATTCAATATCACACAATAACCTATAATGGAAAAGAATCTGAAAATATAATCTGAATCACTTTGCTCTACACCTAAAACTAACACTGTAAATCAATTATACTTAAATAAAAATAATCTTAAAAAGATTTTGATAGTTTCACAATAGGAGAACCAAACAGACATAGGAGGATCTGATGCAGCTACAAATGGCCAATGTGGTTTCAGCAGGAGCCCACAGTCTGAGGCACAGGGTAAGGAAGCCGCCCCCAGACAGCAGTGATCAAGAACACAAACCAGCCATCCAGATGCTCTACTAAGGGCTTATTTACTCCTGGAATCAGAACAAAGTAAGGTCAGTGTAACTGGGAGTTGTGCGGAGGTGCAAGGGCTGGTGTGGGCTTCCTCAGTGGCCTAGCAATAAAGAATCTGTCTGCAATGCAGGAGACACAGGTCTGATCCCTGGGTTGGGAAGATCCCCTAGAGGAAGACATGTCAACCCACTCCAGTATTCTTGCCTGGGAAATCCCATGGACAGAGGAGCCTGGTGGGCTACAGTCCATGGGGTTGCAAAGAGTTGGACACAACAGTACACATGCACAACACAGATATAAAACTCAAAAGAAAAAAAACATAAGGCAAAAATCTTCATGAGGGACATCCCTAGTGGTCCAGTGGCTAAGACTGTGCTCCCAATGGAGGGGGTCCAGGTTCAATCCCTGGTCAGGGAACTAGATCCCACATGCTGTAACTGAGACCCAATGCAGTAAATAAAATAAATAAAATATATATACTAAAAAAAAATCTTCATGACATTCAATTTGGCAATGATTTCCTGGATATGATACCTAAAAGCACAGGCAATAAAAGAAAAAAACACATAAAAGTCTTCATCAAAATTTAAAACTTTTGTACATCAAAGGACCCTATCAACAGAGTGAAAAGACAAACTTATGGAAAAGGGAGACTGTATTTGCAAAGTATACATCTGATAAGGAATTAATAAGCAGAATACATAAAAAACTAAAAATCAATAACAAAAACCCAAACAACCTAATTAAAAAAGGGCAAAGGATTTGAATAAACATTTCTCCAAAGAAGGTATCTACACATGCCCACATATGAAAAGAAATTCAACATCTGAACATCAGGGAAATACAAATCAAAATCACAATGAGACTGATACCACCTCACACCCACTAGGATAGCTACTATTAAAAAATAATAATAAATGTTGGCTAGGATATGGAGAAATAGGAGCTTCAGTATACTGTTAGTGGGAATGTAAAATGGTGCAGTCATATGAAAACAGTATGGAGGTTCCTCAAGAAGTTTCAACACAGAATGATCCTATGACCCAGCAATTTCACTCCTGGGTATATATCCAAAGGAACTGAAAGCAGGGAGCAAACAGATACATACATACTTATGTGCATAGCAGCACTACTCACAAGAGCCCAAAAGGTACAAACAACCAAAACATTCATTGCCAGATGATGGATAAAGAAAATGGAATGTTATTTACATACAGTGAGTATTTATTATTCAATATTCCGTACAGTGTAGCAGTATTTAGCCTTAGAAAGGAAGGACATTCTGACACAGGTTCCAACAGGGATGAACCTTGAGGATGTTATGCTGATGAAGTCAGTCAGTCACAAAAGGAAAAATACTGTATGATTCCACTTATATGAAGTTTCTAAGAATAGGCAATTCATAGAGACAGAAAGTAGAAGAGTGGTTACAGGAGCAAACAGGAGGGAAGAATGGAGTTATCATGTAGTGGGTGAAGTTCTGCTTGGGATGGTGAAAATGGCTGGAAATAAGTAGTAGTGAATATACTTAATGCCACTGATTGTACTATTAAGTGTAGTTAAAATGGTAAAATTCATCACAATTTTTAAAACTGGGTGATTATCCTGCCGGCAAATTACTAACTAGAAAAAACTATTAACTAGTTCAGCAATTCAATTAGGATATAGATAATACCAAGTTCCAATTTCATTTTGACTGGAAAGAAACAGGGCCTTAATTGAGGATTTTTTTAATTAAGAGGCCATCACAGTAACTATTACTAACATTCCCGGGTCTACCTCGGACTCGGGTGTGTGAATACGTCCTAAGATAATGCTACAAGAGCACTGTTCCGAGACGTTCCAAAAGTTTCATCAGATTCTCTAGTCAATCTTTCTTAAGGAATCAAATTAATTGCTTCAGAGAGTAAAAGGCCACCATTCTAAAACTATTGAGTATTATTACTTGACAGGATAATCTTTCAATTAGTTGAAACACTGGAAATGTGCATAAGTGTCTGAGCCCACAGCTCTTATATTATGCCTACAGTACAGACATAACGTCCAAACCAACCAACTCATCTCCTCAAGGCCACACGGTTCAGACCGGGCTCTGCCTGCCGGCCCAAACGTGCGGTCACGGTGCCTCCCCCGCGTCCATGTCACACGCACGTCACAGCTCAACTCTGACCTTGGGCCTTTACTCACTCAAATTAAAAAACCTAATAGGAAGTAACAAAAATACCTGAAAACTCCTCACTTCATACAGCTGACACTCCTGCACTACCCGGAACAAAAGGCCCAGTGTCAGCCAGAGACCCCAGGGCTTCTCAGAGGCCCGCGCCCTATTACCTTCAGCTGGGTCTCCGTGGGCGTCGGCGCCAGGAACGGCGGCTGCCCCACCAGCATCTCGAAGAGAATCACGCCGACACTCCACCAGTCGCAGAGCTGGGTGTAACCTGAAAGACATCAGGGCTCAGCTCGCACCCGCGCGGCGGCCTCGGACGCGCTGAGAGCGTGGCTCTGGTCAGCGAGGAAGCCCCCAACGGCGCAGGCGGGAAAGAGCTGCCGCGAGTCACGAGGCTCGCGCATCACGCTCCACCTCCCGCCTCCGCGGCGCACACGTGACGTTACTGCTTCCTGCACAGGGGCCCGGAACAGACCGCTGGAAAAAGGCTACCGAAGGTCACAGCCTCCACGTGGCAGGAGTGTGGGCACGAGTGTTTTCTGATTTACAGCAGTAGTCTATGATAAACACAGAATGCTCTTATAGTAACAGATCTTTTAAATTTACAAAGTTACTGTTATTGTTAATACTAAACCAGGAATTTAAGTTCTCAAAGGACACAGACACAAATTAAAATCGTAGAAACTAAGGACTTCCCCGGCGGTGTGATGGTTAGGGCTGTGCACCTGGCACAGGCTTGACCCCTAGTCAGAGAGCTAAGATTACAGACTGTGATGCGGCCACAAAAAAAAAAAAAAAAAAAAAAAAAATGTAGAAACTAAAAAAGCAGAAACGCTATGACCAGAGGTCGGTCACGAACGGCCAGTGCCGAGGCTCCCTGGGGAGCTTTTGGGAGAAGAGGGGAGGAAACTGTGGCAAAGGTAATGGCTGCCCCTGCCCTGCCCCTTGGGGCACGGAGGGAACCAAGCTCCTCATCCCCTGCAGGGCCCCCACAGCCGGGGCTCCGGAAGGACAGCCTCATAGGGGTGTCAGAGAAGGCTGATCTTTGATTCTGTCCCAAGTCCCAGTCCGAGCCCTGCTCTGGTCCCACTGTCACCGAATTCTTGCTAAGTGTGACCTGTGGCCCCTATCTGCCTGGCCCTGGAGGCTCTGCTGGGCTACTGCCCATGGCAGGGTTGGGGGGACACCAGTGAACCCCCCTGCAGACCAGCACCCACCCCCACTTTGAAAGGACAGAGTAGGCGTCCTGTACTGGGCAGTGAGGTCAACAAGCCCAACAACCTCTGGAGGTACTGCCCTTATACCTGAGTCCCTAAGAGACTGGCAACCTGCCATGAGGCACACAGGTCACAGAAAACACGATGAGGACAGAGCCTGCTGGCTCCAACAAGTGGAAACCACCGGTGAGGACAGACAGTCTGGCGCTGTTCAGGTTTCTTACAGGGAATCAGATCCACGCATACTGCCACTGGGGACCCCTACAACTGACCATCAGAGGTTCCTCTCATGTTAGTCAAGCGTCTGCTGGATGGGTTGGAGCACCCCATCCCTGAGGCTTACCTTGAAGGGACCTCTGGACCAGTGGGGAGAACTAGAGACACAGAGAAGGCCTGCATCCTCACACCCACTGACCAGGGAAGATGGTGGGCCCCAGTGAGGACCCTGAACCCAGTCCTGACCCTCAAACAACTCCTCTGGGCTCTAGGGAGCAAGCCCACCATGCAGCCAGCTCATCAGTTTCAGCCTGAGGAGCAAGTAGAGATGCCAGGCCAGCTCCCGAGCAGAGAGGGATACACTGGAGATTTGTCTGCTGACAGAACCCCACTCTCGGGCTCCCATGGGGAGACACATGGGGACACTGAGACTCTGACAGTGGGAGCTGGGACCCTCGGAGATCACCCAGCTTGGGTGCACAGCCAAAGCACGCACCTTTCCGGAGGAGCACTTCCGGGGCAATGTAGTTTGGGGTCCCAACCAGGGAGTGAGCCAGACATCGCTGGTGCTGCCTCCGCGCCCTCTGCTCCAGGGTCTTGAGCCGGTCTCCACACCGGCAGTTAGACACGTCGTCCCAGAGGTCGCTAGGCTCCATGCTGTCCTGCCGGGAGTGACTCCCTGTCACCCAGGAAGCGGGGCGGGGAGAGAAGAGAACAGAAAACAGTGTCAATTTTCAGTCTTCAACAATGCAATAAACCCAGAGTTTCAAAAGGAAAAGTAACCTGACCCAGCTCCTCGCACAGTGAGAGAGAGTCCCCTGGCAGCTCCCAGAATGGCTGTGGTCCCGGGCCTCAGACCCAAGCATGAAGTACACACACACTTCAGGACAGGAGCCACGGCAGGGGCTGTGCCCTGTGCTGGGGGCTGTGCTGCTGCTGCTGCTAAGTCGCTTCAGTCGTGTCCGACTCTGTGTGACCCCACAGACGGCAGCCCACCAGGCTTCGCTGTCCCTGGGATTCTCCAGGCAAGAACACTGGAGTGGGTTGCCATTTCCTTCTCCAATGCATGAAAGTGAAAAGTGAAAGTGAAGTCACTCAGTTATGTCCAACTCTTAGCAACCCCATGGACTGCAGCCTACCAGGCTCCTCCATCCATGGGATTTTCCAGGCAAGAGTACTGGAGCAAAGGCCAACACCATCTGTTTGTCAGACATGTTTTGAGACAGGCATGGAAAAGATTAAGGATTTCAAAAATATGGACACAGATAATTTCAATGCCAAAAAAGAATGAATCAAATGATTTATAACTAGTTTTGAGTTAAAAAACAGAAGTCTGAGCTATAGTAATAAAATAACTAGTTCAAAGAATTCAAGCCAGGGCTTCCCTGGTGGTTCACTGGTTAAGAACCTGCCTGCCAATGCAGGGGACACAGGCTTGAACCCTGGCCGGGAAAATCCCACATGCTTCGGAGCAACTGAGCCTATGCTCTAGAGACCATGATCTATGAGAGAGGCTACCACAAGGAGAAGCCCATGCACTGCAAGGAAGGGTCCCCCCACTCCTGGCAACTAGAGAAAAACCCTCATAGCAACAAAGACCCAGAACAGTCAAAAATAAATAAATAAATTTAAAAGGAAAAAAAAAGAATTCAAGCTACAAATATGATGACCAGCTATTTCCGGCCCCAAGATACCCTATGGCCTACTATCCTTGAAACATTTTAGTAAAACTTGAAGCCACTAACTTAAAAACAAACACCTCACACATCATAGTACTTCTTCATGGAGAAAAGGGTATCACACCAAATTATGAAATCACACAGGTTCAGGTGCACCACCCAGGATGGGGTGAGGAGGAGAGGCCGGAGGCAGTACCTTTCTGGTAGTATTTGGAGTTGTGGGTCCACCTGAATCCAGTGCAGAGGCCGAAGTCTGTCAGCTTGATGTGGCCGTCAAGGTCTATGAGGATGTTGTCAGGCTTGATGTCCCGGTGGATGAAGCCCATCCTGTGAACGCTCTCGACGGCCAGCGTCAGCTCAGCAATGTAGAAGCGTGCCAGGTGCTCAGGAAACACCTCCATGCGGATGAGCAGGCTCATCATATCTCCACCTGGGATGTAGTCCATCACAAAGTACAGGCTGTCCTTGTCCTGGAAGGAGTAGTAGAGCTTGACCACCCATTCATTGTCCGCCTCCGCCAGGATGTCCCGCTCTGCCTTGACATGGGCCACCTGGTTGCGGTTCAGGACGTCCTTCTTTCTCAGGGTCTTCATGGCATACAGCGCGTGCGTGTCCACCTTGCAGGCCAGGCACACCTCCCCAAAGGCGCCAACGCCCAGGGTCTTCACCTTCACAAACATGGACTTGTCCATCTTGGCCCGCTTGAGCCTATTATAATTAGACTCCTTCTGGTAGAGAATCTTCCTCATCTGCTCCTGCTCCGCCTCACAGAGCCCGGCCTGTGAAGGAGGAAACAGAACAGGGTCACACTGGATGGGCCCCATGGGGACGTGAGACCCCAGAGTGGAGGGCACACCATGATCTGTGGAAAGGAGGGTGCAGAAGAACCCAGCCAATGCTACAAGTGAGAAAATGACTGTTGGTTCTCTACATCCACAGTCACAGATCTAGAATCAAAAGGGAAGATATAAAAACAAGTTGTTCTTTCTCCAGGTTGACTTTTAGGCTCTAAAAACTAAAGACAACTTGTATTACTAAAAATTTGTGGGAAAGGGGACCATAAAATTCCTGAAACTCTTAAGGGCAATGTAATAATTTAATGACAGTTCAGGGGGAAATGGGAAAACAAAAAGAAGAGTCAGATGAAAATGGAACAGCATTTTCACTGGGATCCGATCTTATTTTCAGAACTTTTTAGAATCTGAAATTACCATAGCATTTTAATGTAAACAACTTCATTAATAATTAACATTCCCTAACAGCTTAGTGTCAACTAGCATATACTTCAAGCATTATTTTAATAACTATAGACTTCATTAAGAATGAACTGAATCACTACTAGCTATACTTCTTTTTAAAATTCCCACAATGTCAATGTGTAAAACCTCGTTTCCTTTCTCCTCTTTCAAAGTGTTTCTTTACCAGCTGGAGAGCCTTGATGGATTTGCTCCCCGGAAAGGACACGCCGTAACAAGCAACGCGTTCGTTCACCGGGGGCACATCCACACAGCCCTCCCCACCCCGAACTGGGACAGAGGACACGGTGCAGGGGGCTTCTCCCACTGGGACCCCGACACCAGGCGTGCCCTGCGCCCACCTTCGCCATCTCCTGCTCCAGCTGCAGCCGGCGGGCCACCTTCTGCTGGTGGGTCTTGAGCACGTTCTCCACATGCTGCTCCATGAAGAACTTGAAGGCCGACGGCGAGTAGCTCTTGATGCGCGATTCGCGCCTGTCCTCGTCGCGGCCGCCCCTGCGCACGGGCACCGGGGATGTCTGGATCTGCTTCCGGTCTCTGCCCGCCCTGTCGGCCTTGGTGGCCCCGGGGCTCGCGGGGCTGCCATCGGGGGGCTCGGCGGCTCTTGGGGTGCGGGGCCGGAGCGTAAGCGGCGCCGGGGGCCGGGAAGGGAAGGCCGGAGGGTGGCACCGGCACAGCCGCACCCTTGGCGGCCAGCCCCGCATACGCGCCGGCCTCCGGGGCCGCCTTGCTTTGGAAGGAGGGGCTGCGCTGGACGCCATAGCCCAGGGGCTCCGCGGGCACCAGCAGCGGGGCTCTGTAGTGAGCGCCCCCGGGGCCCGCGAGGCCCATGCGGGCGGCCTCCCCGGTGGCAGTGTAGCCCTTGGGCGGGTGCGGACGACAAGGAAGCCCGATGCCAGCAAAGAGGAAGTCCGGGTACGGGCGGGGTGCTTCCTCCAGGGCGGCGGGGCCCTCGAAGGCCAGCCCGGCCACCTGCGCGAAGGGCGGGAAAGGCTCGCCCGCTGCTGCTTCGAAGCTCGGCCTCCGCGGCCCGGGGGCCGGCGCCAGGCCCTTCCCTGGGGGCAGAGACGGAGGCGGCGTTAGAAGGCCGCGGGCAGAAGGCCCAGCGTTGCTGGTCGGGTAACCCACCCCCACCCCCACCCCGCCCCCCGCTGGAGACCCGGGAAGCCCCGCAGGCGAAGATGAAGCACCAGCCAGGGCTGCCCCCAGGGCCTGGGAGGGGCGATCAGCTGCCACGCAGACCCCGAGATCCCAAAGGTCTGGACACCGTGGCAGCAAGGCACTGCTTAAGGGCGTTCCTCAGTCAAGAGAAGAGAAACGGGCAAAAGTCCCTGTTCTCACCACTTTCACTCAGTGCCTGAGACAAGGGGTTAAATTCACCCACAGTGAAAATACATTTTCTATTGTTCTTTTAATTCTGTCGATTTCTACTTTATATATTTTGAGGATATGTAGTAGATAAATACACTTTTGAAATGTTATGCCCTCAAAAAGAAAAGGGAAACCTGTGTTCTCATCTCAAGGAAGGTACAATGTATTTACTACAAAGCCCTTGCAAGTTCCTCACTCAGCAGATGAACTGGGTTTATCCAGGGTCTCTAGGGAAAACTCCTGGTCAATATCCTGAATCCCTTATTACCCCCCAGGGGCCTCAGGTCCCCAAAATGTCTCCACCTGCTCTACTGAGGAAGAGAACACCCACTGACTAGCAGGGGTGCTGAAGCGACTGGCCCTCCTCAAGGGCATGGCGTGGGGGGGGGGTCCCCTCCCTCCCCCGGGGTATGGGCGGGGCTGGGGGGCGGGGCTTTCCCACACCTCTTCCTGAGGCCCTGGACTCTGGAGCCACCTGCCACCAGCTCTCTGAGCCCACAGGGTGGGAAACAAGTGTGTTTTAGAAATCCATGAAATAAGCCTCCCCTTAAGAATCCCTCACAAGTCCAGAAAGATCCTGCTGAGTGGCCTAATTTTCATTTTGAATTTTCCTTTTCATGAACAGAACAACTCCACAAACCCCCAGTAAGGAAGGACCCAGCTAAGTGTCAATCTGCCCCCACCCTGGGGACAGGATGTTGGGCAGGGCAGGTTCAGTCCCCGTGCCCCCACTCCTGCGAGGGAGGTGGGCAGCACGATGGCCACAAGGCCCTCTCCCCAAAGCCGCCTCTCCATAGCCCCTGGCACGCTCACCTGGAGAGGTCTGCTTGACGACCCGCACGATCTGCTCCTTGCCTGGCTCCAGGTAGCCCATCTTACTGATGAACTCCAGGGCGGCCTCGATGCTGCGGCTGCCGGTCTGCTTGAGGGCCCTGCCCGCCATCTCCTAGAGAGGGGAGCAGAGAGACATTAGCTGGGGGCCTGGGCGTGGGTCACATGAAGCTTCCAGGGACAGTCTTTCTGTCCTGCACCCTCCTCCGAGCCAGTGGAGCAAGAACTGCTGGGGACTTGTCTTGGGGCTGATGAACCTCACACACACTCAGTTCAGTCTCTCAGTCGTGTCTGACTCTTTGTGAGCCCATGGGCTGCAGCATGCCAGGCTTCCCTGTCCTTCACCAACTCCTGAAACTTGCTCAAACTCATGTCCATCGAGTCAGTGATGCCATCCAACCATTTCATCCTCTGTCATCCCCTTCTCCTCCTGCCTTCAATCTTTCCCAGCATCAGGGTGTTTTCCAGTGAGTCAGTTCTTCGAATCAGGTGGCCAAAGTATTGGAGTTTCAGCTTCAGCATCAGTCCTTCCAATGAATATTCAGGACTTATTTCCTTTAGGATGGACTGGTTGGATCCCCTTGCAGTCCAAGGGACTCTCAAGAGTCTTCTCCAACACCACAGTTCAAAAGCATCAATTCTTCAGTGCTCAGCTTTCTTTATAGTCCAACTCTCACATCCATACATGACTACTGGAAAAACCATAGCCTTGACCAGAGAGACCTTTGCTGGCAAAGTAATGTCTCTGCTTTTTAATATGCTGTCTAGGTTGGTCACAGCTTTTCTTCCAAACAGCAAGCATCTTTCAATTTCATGCCTGCAGTCACCATCTGCAGTGATTTTGGAGCCCCTCAAAAATTAAGTCTGTCAGTGTTTCCATTTTTTCCCATCTATTTGCCATGAAGTGATGGGACCGGATGCCATGATCTTAGTTTTCTGCATGTTGAGTTTTAAGCCATCTTTTTACTCTCCTCTTTCACTTTCATCAAGAGGCTCTTTAGTTCTTCTTTGCTTTCTGCCATAAGGGTGGCGTCATCTGTGTATCAGAGGTTATTGATATTTCTCCCTGCAATCTTGATTCCAGCTTGTGCTTCACCCAGCCTGGCATTTCGCATGGTGTACTACACTGCATGTAAGTTAAATAAGCAGGGTGACAATACACGGCCTTGATGTACTCCTTTCCCAATTTGGAACCAGTCCATTGTTCCATGTCTAGTTCTAACTGTTGCTTCTTGACCTGCATACAGATTTCTCAGGAGGCAGGTCAAGTGGTCTGGTATCCCCATCTCTTGAAGAATTTTCTACAGTTTGTTGTGATCCACACAGTCAAAGGCTTTGGCATAGTCAATAAAGAAGTAAATGTTTTTCTGGAACTCTCTTGCTTTTTTGATGATCCAAAGGATTTTGGCAATTTGATCTCTGGTTCTTCTGCCTCACACACACTGACCCCACCCAGATTTTGATGGTGGACCTCAAAGACTTTGTATTCTGCTCCTCCTGAGAAAACTTCTGACTGGACTGAGACATTCCTGCCTGGTCTGTGGAAGTCAGAGAACCAGCCTTCCCCCACACCAGGGAGGGAGCCAGGGGAAAGGATACAGTGGGTGAGAGAGCATGGGCCCCTGGGACAGGCCCGGCAGGACAGCTCCCTGCCTCCCAGAACAGTCCAGGAAGGACAGATGCCCCCCGCCCCTGACCCCCCAGCACTGCTAGCAGGATGAGTTTCTGGGGAAGAGGGCCAGAGGAGAGAGAGGAATCAGGGACTGTCCTCAGGCTAGATGAGGGCACACAGCCGGCTCTTTAAGGACAGCAGGATGTGGGCAGATGGTGGAGAAAAGGTATTCTTGGCTGGTAGTCAGAGCAGGGTGGGGGGAACCATATACCAGTCAACTGCCCTGAAACTTCTATTCTCTTCACATGTCCCTGTGTCCAGAAATGAGCATAACAATACCTGCAGTCTCATGTGCACAGGCTCAGCTCTGCCCCTAGAATGTTGGTGGCCTGCAGTCTGCTCCAGGGAGCAAGATCAGGCCAGTGCCAGCGGCCAGACTCAGCTGCAGTTCCAACATGTAAGCAAACAGCCTGGATGCTCAACCCCAGCAACATAGCTGGGCAGCCCAGAGGATCATAGTAAGTAATAAACTATGGTTGTTCTTCAGCTGCTAAAACTTCTGGGATGGTTTGTACAACAGTATATAATGGGTAACTACTTTTACTGCAGGTATAATCTGAAAAATATGTCCACCTATTAATTTTACCTCAACTCTGAATGGTTGGGTTTGCTAAATAAACTCAATTTGTTAAGATCAGTTTTATGGAAAGTTAAATTTAACTTTAATATTTAATATATTTAATATTTATATTAAATATATTTAATTATTATATTTTAATATAATATATTTCATTTATAGTCCTTGTATTTAATTTATGCACAAAGAAAAGATTAGAAGCTGCTGCCATAGAAGGATCTCTTTATCTCTGTGGAGATTTGGGGCTTTGGGAGCTAAGGGGTCTCTATAGGTTCTGATCACATAACGATGTAGAGAGTACTTGATTGCCTGACTGAAAAGGGACTGGAGGCTGTTTCAGGGACTGGGTATGTGGGGGTGTGTGTGTGTGGTGTGTGCATGTGTATGGGTTCTGAAAAATAAATACATGGATGAGAGTTCTCTTAATTTTGTGTTAAATAAGTAGAATTTCAAGCTATTACAGGGAAACAGCTTCTTATTTAAGGGATAGGATTATCTGGTATTAAAGTTTGGTTATATACCTTCCATTTAGGATGCTGAGAAGAAAGTTACTAAAAACACTTTGTGTTTGTATATCCTCCACAGGACCTGTGTTTCTTGATCACCGAGATGAGCTTGAAGGAACATACAAGGTTTACTGCCAGAATCATGATGAGGCCATCTCTTTGCTGGAAATCTATGAGAAGGATGAGAAGATCCAGAAGCATCTTCAGGACTCCTTGGCAGATCTTAAGTAGGAGTTTTGAGCACTTCATTCCATCATAGCTCTTTAGTTCTGCCTGTTGGAAGTCACTCCCATGTCTCTCTAGACTTCTTATGACATCTGTAAATCTATCGTATTTTAAAATATAAGTGATAAATCATTGGAGTTCCTTCTGTGTAACTTGCCCTTTTCCCGTCCTGTATCATGGAAATCTTAAGTAGCTTCCTGCTTGTAGTTTTATCCATTAAAATCAGTTTTATTTATACATATAAGGTTATCATTTTCAGGTAAGAAGCTGCCAGGAAGATAGTTTGGTCTTGACCATCATGAGATTCTCATGTCTTAGGGAGACAAGTTGTGAGGATGTAATATGTGTCTGAATAGGTCAGAGTGAAGTTAGGGGCTTACTGACTTTTTTAATAGACTAGAAATGCCACCGTAAACATTTACAATTCCCCTTTTATCTCGTGTGTTTTTTGTCTGCCCAGCTAATAGGCATTAGTTGGACTAATATGTTCTGAGAGGAATGTGAAAATCAGCATCAGTATTTTCTCTAATCAGCTGTTTCTTCTTTTCACGCTCACTGCTTTATAGGAGCCTGTACAATGAATGGTGAGTTATTGACGCTTTTTTTTTTCTTCTTTCATAGACAGAAGCTAGAGGTCACAGCAGGTCCCCTGCCTTGCTGTATTTTCCTCCATAGCACTTACAACCAAATGACACTTTGTATGATGTTGGTTTGATTTTTGTCTGCCTCTTCCCACCAGGCAGGGACTTTTTTAGTTCACTGCTAAATCCACACTAGAACATTGCCTGATATTTGTTAGGTGCCTGGTAAACGTGAATGAATGAAGTTGGGAAGTAGGGTAAGAGAACAGAGCTGTATTAGGAGTAACAAATACTGGCTATAGACCCGGTGTTACTGACAGTTGACCAGAGTCTCTGTTTTCCCTTCTCTTATAGGGGATGCACAAATTATATTAACCTGGGCTCCTTCCTCATCAAACCAGTGCAGAGAGTAATGCGTTACCCATTGCTGCTGATGGAGTTATTGAATTCCACCCCTGAATCCCACCCAGATAAAGTGCCTTTAACCAATGCAGTCCTTGCAGTCAAGGAAATCAACGTTAACATTAATGAGTATAAACGTCGAAAGGACCTGGGTAAGAAAAGTGTACTTGCTGAAAAGGAGGCACGCCCTTGAGAATGTTCTCCTCAAAAGAATTAATTACTAAACCAGAGGTGGACAGGCAGATGGTAGGTAATAGGGCTGTGATGAAGAAATGGTAATAGGATTTGGGGAAAATGAGATAAAGAAAGAAAGCAATGATGATAATAAAAGCACAGTCATGCATGTTGGAAATAAGGCATCTGTGACAAAGCTTATAGCAATGAGTCTTTCCCAGGAGATATGAAGACCAGTTAGAAAATGGCTGCTGATCAGGACAGTTCCTTCAAGTTGAGTGACTGCCTTCTCATTGAAGGGAGTCCCTTTTGGTCCATTCTTGCATCTCTTTGCCCTGCATGTTTGCTTCCACTTAAGCTAGAAGTTTCTTGTCTTCTTTCAGAAAACCCCAGTGTGCCTACCTCTCTGGCCCTATCAGTCCTGCCTCTGGTCTGAGCCCCTCCCCTTACCGCCAAAACTGTGCAGTCAGTTGACAGACCACCCACTCTTTCTTTATGATAGAGGACAAACTGAACCATATCTTCTGTCTCATGAAATCTCTTGTCAAAACTTTGATTTTGAATACTCAATGAGTATAGCATGGTGACCATGCTATAATAAACTGATTTATCACTCATATCCTCAAAGAATCTATAATGTAGCCTCTCTGCCTGTCTCTCCACTATTCTGCATATTTATCTAAAACCATTTTCCCCTCCTGCTTCAGCCATGTCACCCATGTTTATGTGTAGTGTTGGCTGTGGCTGTTAAAGCCCTCTGGCCATCGAGCCCATTGCCTTAGTTCATATCTCTTCATATAATGTCATCTTCATCTCCTACAAACAGTGAAGTGTGCCTTTCTGTGCCACCCAGACTTCCTTCGCTATCCTTCTACTATTATTTCTGAGGTTTTCTGCAGACTGACTGATGTATGACACACAGTCAGACAACTCCTGCATAGCATTTCACTGTGTGAGATGACTGGATATAAATACCTCATTTGTGGATGAGACCATTTAAGGTGGGCAGGTACTGTTACTGTTTTCATTTTATTGGAAAGGAAAATGCGGTTCAGAGAAATTAAGTGAATTATTTAAGGCCACACTTTTTTTTTTTTTGGCCATGCCTCACAGCTTGCAGGACCTTAGTTCCCTGACTAGGGATTGAACCTGGGCCCTGGAAGTGAAAGTGCATAGTCCTAACCACTGGACCATCAAGGAATTCCCTAAGGCCACACCTTGATGAAATGACAGACTCAGGCATTGAACTCAGAGGTTGCCTTGACTTCAGATCTTAGGCTTTTTTCCTTGTACCTCCATGACCTTCCTTCCTTGTCTCTAATCTTTTCCAGTCTCTGCTATTCTCTGGGTATCCGATCTGTCCATAAATGGTGATTTGGATTAACATTTTGTGTACTCAGTCATAAGCTCTTTGAAAATAAGCACTAGCTCTAGTTTGGATTGTTAGTCTCGTTTGTAGTCTCTCCATGCTTGGAAGAGGGCTTTCTCCACTCACCAGTTTGACTTACTCCCCAGTTCTCAAGTACCGAAAAGGTGATGAAGATAGCCTCATGGAGAAAATTTCCAAATTGAACATCCACTCCATCATCAAGAAATCCAACCGGGTTAGCAGTCACCTGAAGCATCTCACTGGCTTTGCTCCACAGGTGAGGTTCCTGCCCTTGAAGGTTCAGCATGTCTTTGGCTGCTTTTCAGGGCTCCACAGGGCAGCCTACATGGTGTGAATTGGTAAGATTCCCCTCTTAGTACCCTCTTGGTGTTTGCCAGCTGGTAGATAAAACACCCTACAGCTACTCTTTGTTTATTTGGCTGCCCTGGGTCCTAGCTGTGGCATGTGGGATCTAGTTTCCTGACTAGGGGTTGAACCCAGGCCTCCCGCATTGGGAGCATGGAGTCTTAGCCACTGGACCATCAGGGAAGTTCCTCTGCTGTTATATTTAAATCTACTGCCCCCCACAACCCTTCATCTGAGCCTTAAGCTGCTTACAACGTGTACAAAGACAAATCAGGAAACCAAATCTGTCACCATGTAAGAGTTATCATGGTTTTAGACACCCATAAGGAGTTTATCATCTGTTTGGGGAGACAAAACTGTGGACATGTGAGGGTAGAAGGGATTTAGGAGATCACCTAGTTCAACACCATAAGTCACATGTAAGGAAATGTAAAGTCTAAAATCTGAGTGACTTGTAAAACAGCCACAGAGAAGATCCAGAGTCTCCAGACTTCATGTGCTGAACCATGTGAATGTGATACAGTCAGTGGAAAATACCAACTAAAGAATCAGTTGCTAAGCTTGACAGTTTGATCTCTACACAGTGTGGTACTTAAGTAAACGGGAGCTCCGTGAGAGTGAGCTTCATGTTGGTGAGATTTAATCTGAGCTTTAAAGGAGATGGGCAGGTTTGGCACAGGGAGAGGGAGGGCACACCTGGCCAGGTGGCAGCACTGGTGACGCCAGCAGCCTGACCAGCCAGGGCTTTTGTCAGGAGCAGAGGGGGCCGGGTGGAGACAGGCATGCCTGTGTGTACTCAGGAGGCTGTCAAAGCCTGGAGAAGTGCTTAAGTCCAATTCCACATGATTCAGAGAAACATCAAAGGCTTATAATTTAAACAAAAGATGTGCTTAAGAAAGATGCATTTCTAGTAAGATCAACTGAGAGAGAGTGCACATTTGCTAACAGCACTTACTCATTTTGAACAGATTAAAGATGAAGTATTTGAAGAAACAGAGAAAAACTTCCGAATGCAAGAAAGATTGATCAAGTCTTTTATCCGAGACCTGTCTCTCTACCTCCAGCACATCCGGGTGAGTAAAGACCTTATTCTTGTTAGAATTGCTGACAGTGTTAATTCCAGCCGTTCTCCTGTTCATCCAGCATATTGCTTAACGAATGTGGAATAACCTGGACTTAAATGACCATTATACCATGACAAGCTTTTTACTGGGATTCTTGCAGATTATTTAAAAGTTAAACATCAGAAGATCAGCACTGTTGTATTCATAGTAAGGGAACCTAGCTCTTTCCTTCATCTCTTTCAGTCTTCACCCTTTTTGCCCTGTTTCCTATATCCAGTTATATAAGAAGCACTCATCACAGTTCATTTTGTCAGAATCACTTTGAAGATCACATAGTAAGAGAATGGTTCCTATTGGGGGGGGCGGGGGGCCAATGCTTCCTAATGATCATATTCATCTACAACTGTCCGTGGGCCTCTAAGGCTGTTAGAGCCACAAATACGTCTAGAGAGTTGGAAGAACTTAGGAGATCATGGAGGCCCCGGTCTTCCTTGCCTGAGGCAGGGCTTCCTTCATGAAGTCAGATCCAGGACTAGAACCCTTTCTCTTAATATCTGTAATTTCTCTGCTGATTTAATAGAAATTAAGGCTTCCCTGGGAGCTCAGCTGGTAAGAATCCACCTGCAATGCAGGAGACCTTGGTTTGATTCTGGGATCAAGAAGATCTGCTGGAGATTTAATAGAATAGTGTTTATATAAATATACCATATACCCCTGTCCCTCACACAGGAAAATCTCATCCTGTGAAATAATTTCCTTTAAAAGTGATCCTTTGCTTTTTAAAAAAATTATTTTTTCTTAATATTTTCATCATTTTTTAACTAAGTAACATGGTGCAGAATTCAAAAACTGCCAAAGGAATGTTGTTGTTGTTCAGGTACTAAGTCGTGCCCAACTCTTTGTGACCCCATAGACTGAAGCAGGCCAGGTTTTCCTGTCTATCACTCTCTCTCAGAGTTGTTCAAATTCATGTCCATTGAGTTGGTGAGGCTATCCAACCATCTCATCCTCTGCTGCTCTCTTTTCCCTTTTTCTTTCTTTTCTCTTTCTTTCTTTCTTTCCTTCTTTTCTCTTTCTCTTTTTCTGCCAACATCAGGGTCTTTCCCAGTGAGTCGGCGCTTCACATCAGGTGGCCTTCAGCTTCAGCATAAGTCCTTCCAGTGAATATTCAGGATTTATTTCCTTTAGGATTGATTGGTTTGATCTCTTTGCTGTCCAAAGAACTCTGAAGAGTCTTATCCATCACTAAGTTCGAAAGCACCAATTATTTGGTACTCAGCCTTCTTATGGTCCAACTCTCACATCTGTACATGACTACTGGAAAAGCCATTGCTTTGACTGTGGACCTTTGTTGGCAAAGTGATATCAGTGCTTTTTAATACACTGTCTAGGTTTGTCATAGCTATTCTTTCAGGAGCAAACATCTTCTAATTTTGTGGCTGCAGTCACCGTCCGCAATGATTTTGGAGCCCGAGAAAATTAAATCTGCCACTACTTCTTTTCCCCCATCTATTTGCCATGAAGTAATGGGACCAGATGCCATCATCTTCATTTTCTGAATGTTGAGTGTTAAAGAAACTTTTTCACTCTGCTCTTTCACTCTCATCAAGGGGCTCTTTAGTTCCTCTTCACTTTCTGCCATTTGTGTGGTAACATCTGCATATCTGAAGTTGTTGATATTTCTCCCAACAATCTTGATTCTAGCTTGTGATTCATCCAGCCCACATTTTGCATAATGTACTTTGCATATAAGTTAAATAGGCAGGGTGACAATATATAGCCTTGATGTACCCCCTTTCCCAATTTTGAACCAGTCCATTGTTCCATGCCTAGTTTTAACTGTTGCCCTTGACCTGCATATAGGTTTCTCAGGAGACAGGTAAGGTGGTCTGGTATTCCCATCTCTTTAAGAATTTTCCAGTTTGTTGTGATCCACACAGTCAAAGACTTTAGTGTAGTCAATGAAGCAGAAGTAGATGTTTTTCTGAAATTCTCTTACTTTTTCTATGATGCAATGGATGTTGGCAATTTGATTTCTGGTTCCTCTGACTTTTCTAAATTCAGCTTGTACATCGGTTGTACAACTGGAAGTTCTTGGTTCACATACTGATGACTTAAGTCATTGTATTTCTTTTCTGTGATTTGGGTATATTTGAGGGCATTTATTTATCATTAGTTATCTACTAATTATTAACTATCTATTGCAGTATATTGCTTTACAGTGTTGTGTTCGCTTCTCCTGTACAGCAAAGTAATTCAGCCACACGTATATGTGTATCCCCTCTTCCTTGGATTTCATTCCCATTTAGGTCATCCCAGAGCATTGAGTAGAGTTCCCTGACTGTATACAGTCAGTTCTCATTAGTTATCTGTTTTATACATAGTAGTATATATATGTAACTCCCAATCTCCCAATCCATCCCATTCTCCTTCCCCCTCCCCTTGGTATTCACATATTTGTTCTCTACACCTGTGTCTCTATTTCTGCTTTACAAATCAATTCATCTATACCATTTTTCTAGATTCCACATATGTGTGTTAATATATGATATTTTTTTTTCAGTTTTTTACTTATTTCACTGTGTGTGGAGGAAATGGCAACCCACTCCAGTATTCTTGCCTGGAGAATCCCCATGGAAAGAGGAGCCTGGTGGGCTACAGTCCATGGGGTCACAAAGGGTCAGATATGACTGAGTGCAGCTAAGCAGACTCCATATGAATAGTCTCTAGGTCTATCCGTGTCTCTGCACATGACAGTTTTGTTCCTTTTCATGGCTGAGTAATATAGTAATATTGCATTGTGTGTGTGTGTGTGTGTGTGTGTGTGTGTTCATACAGCACATCTTCCTTATCATTCCTCTGTTGGTGGATATTTAGGTTACTTTCATGTTCGAGCTATTGTAAATAGTGCTACAGTGAACACTGAGTTGTGTGTATCTTATTGAATTGTGGTTTTCTCTGAGAATATGCCCAAGAATGGGATTCATGGGTCATATAGTAATTCTGTTTTTAGTTTTTTCCTCCATACTGTTCTCTTGGGCTTCCCTGGTAGCCCAGATGGTAGAGAATCTGCAGTGCAGGACACCTGGGTTTGATCCCTGGGTTGGGAAGATCCCCTGGATAAGGGAATGACTACCCACTCCAGTATTCTTGCCTGGAGAATTCCATGGACAGAAGAGCTTGGCAGGCTACAGTCCACAGGCTGGGAAAAAGCCAGACACAACTGAGTGACTAACACCTTCATACTATTCTCAATAGAGGCTGTATCAGTTTACATTCTGGGGGCACTTATTTATTGACTTAGTGTTCTTTTCTTATCGACTTATAGTACTTTTGTATATGTTGGAGGAAATAGCCTTTTATCTGAGATGATGGTTTACAAATACCCCCTCCCCCTAGTTTGTTGACTTTTGAATTTGCTTAAAATTTTTTTTGTGTGTGTAGAAGAGTTTTATTTTTGTGTAATCTAATAAAACTTTTATGGTTTCTTCATTCTGTGTCATACTTTAAAAGGTCTTTTCCATTCCAAGATAATTTTTTAAAAGATCTCCTATGTTTCAGTACTTTTATCATTTTATCTTTTATATTAAAGTCATAAATCTAGCTGAAATTCACATTAGCACATAAGGTTTGAGGTAGGAATCCAACTTTTTGCTTTTTATCCAGTTGTCTGTCATTAGCATTTATTGAGTAATCCCCACTGATATGATATGCTTCCTACATTTCTTTTAAGTAGCAAACTCTCCTTATTTTAAAATTGTGATTAAGGGGACTTCCCTGGCAGTCCAGTGATTAAGACTCTGCACTTCCGCTGCAGGGGATATAGGTTCCATCTCTGATTGAGGAACTAAGATTCTGATGCTGCAGGGCATGGCCAAAAAAAGAAATAAAAATTTGATTAAGTAAAGATCAGGGCTTATAAGACTTTTCAGTAGCACACTGGATTAAAGTGAGAGATTTGACCAAGTGTATTTCCCTTGCCTTAGGACTCTTCCTACAGTTCCTCTAGTTTTGTTATCTCCCTATTAGCCACTTTTTCCCCCATGTTTTCTAAATGCATAGCAAGTATACACCAGAGCCCCCAGGTCTTAAAAAGCTTGTCTCCATAGCAGTGGGTGACAGCCCTTGGACGGGCATGTCAGTTTGATTCTGACTGCTAACTGCTATCTAGGGTGGATGATGGAGGCCAGAAGTTCGGTCTGGTCTTACCCGTGTTTGTAACTGGCCGCAGGAATCAGCATGTGTGAAGGTGGTAGCTGCCGTGAGCATGTGGGACGTGTGCGTGGAGAAGGGACACAGAGACTTGGAACAGTTCGAGAAGGTGCATCGCTACATCAGTGACCAGCTCTTCACAAACTTTGTAAGTGACCCTTCAGCCCACTTTTCTTGCATTGGCTCTTTTCCCAGGGCTCTATCTAGTGACCAGCCCAGTTTCAGGGGACAAAGGAAAACTCAGAAATTTAACCTGGTAACACTGTTGATAACTGATCAAAAGAAAACAACTAAAGGATTAACGATTTTAAAAGGAATATTTCGGCACAGTTAATAGTTTAACAAGTAGATCTTTAAATGGCATAAACTACCTTATAAAGACTACTAAATATCAGATTGCTTGGGAAACTCTAAATGGAGAGAGAGAGAGAGAGATCCTGAGTAGAAATGGATGTGCTTTGATAGCTTCTTGGAGGTCTCTGAATGCTTGAGGCTAAAGAAAACATGATAGTTGAAGCTTACAGGTATTCTGACAGTAGCATCTTAGTAAAAATTTACTAAGTACCTATTTATGTTCTTTTTGTATCCATATTGTGTCCTTGATATCTATCCCTTTAGAATTAGACAAAAATCTTTGAAAAATGAAAACAGATTATTCAGTAGTTATGAGTAGAAAAGATAAGGGTGTGTGAAAGTTTCTCTACCCCAGATTTGTGTAACAACTAAATCTTTTTATTTTTTATTGAATTATGGTTGACTTGCAATATTGTGTTAATTACTTCTGTACAGGAAAGTGACTCGGTTATATATGTGTGTGTATATATATTTATATATTCTTTTTCATACTCTTTTCCATTATGGTTTATCACAGGATACTGAATATAGTTCCCTGTGCTATACAGTAGGACCTTGTTGTTTATCCATCCTATATATACCAGTTTGCATGTGCTAATCCCAAACTTCCACTTCTTCCCTCTTCTACCCCCTTCTACCTTGGCAATCACCAGTCTGTTCTCTATGTCTCTGATTTTGTTTTGTGTCCTAGATAGGTTCATTTGTGTCATATTTTAGATTCCACATATAAGTGGTATGATCCAATGTTTGTCCCTCTGACTTATTTCACTTAGTGTGATAATATCTAGGTCCACCCATGTTGCTACAAATAGCATTATTATTTTAACAGCTGAGTAGTAGTCCCCTGTGTTTATATACCACATTTTCTTTATCCCGTCATCTATCGCAGGGCATTTAGGTTGTTTTCATGTCTTGGCTATTGTGAATAGTGCTGCTACTATGAATACATGAGGATGCATGTATCTTTTTGAATCATAGCTTTGTCTGGATATTTAAATGTCCAGGAGTGGGATTGCTGGATCATATGGTAATTCTACTTTTAATAATTAAACCTTAAGTTAAATTCAGGTTATGTACAGACATGTACACATAAGTGATACCAGACGGATGGTCACATCTGGGTTATAATGCAACATCATGTTAATGTATGTAGTTGAGCATTTGTTGTCAACTGTGTAGCTGTTTTGCATACTCTTTGGTGTGTGCAGATTGCTAGGTGAAGAGTTACAAGCTGAGAAGCTTTGTGTGCAGACACCTGGTATCAGATAGGCAGAACACTGTTGGATCTGCACAGGTTTAGCTTGGAGCAAAGCAGGTGGTGCAGGATGGAACAAAAGCCACCTGAAGAGTATTCTAAGAATAACAAATTCGGTACTGAACACCATGCCTTTCTCATTTTCACAGAAAGAGAGGACAGAGCGGCTGGTCATCTCTCCGCTGAATCAGTTACTGAGCATGTTCACAGGACCCCACAAGCTGGTACAGAAACGCTTCGACAAACTTCTGGACTTCTATAACTGTACAGAACGGGCGGAGAAGCTGAAGGACAAGAAAACCCTGGAGGAGCTGCAGTCGGCGCGGAACAACTATGAGGCTCTGAATGCCCAGCTGCTAGATGAGCTGCCCAAGTTCCACCAGTACGCGCAGGGCCTCTTCAGCAACTGCGTGCACGGCTATGCAGAGGCCCACTGTGACTTCGTGCGTCAGGCCCTGGAGCAACTGAAGCCGCTGCTCTCGGTGAGACCCTCCCTCCCTGTGGAGAAGGGGACTCCCGGGTTCTCCCCAGGTTTTTTGGGGAATACACGTCAGGGTTGTCGAGTCATTGTTAAGCTAGGCAGATTAACTGGGTCACTAGGTCAAGCCCATCGGGAGGTGGAGTCCTTGCTGCCGTGATGGTGCTGGGACCCCAGGGCCTTGAATGGTTGCTCTCCTGAGCCGCCCTGGCGGAGCCGGGCCCTGGGCCTGCGGGCTCCTGGCTGCAGTGTTGGTGGCTCACACGTGAGGAGTTTCAAGGAGACTGTGCCAGTCCTGGGTCTTTACGTGTGTCCTCTTCTCCCCTCTGTCTCTGTTCTTGCAAATGGACTCCAGCTACTCAAAGTCACCGGTAGGGAGGGGAACCTGATTGCCGTCTTCCATGAGGAGCACAGCAGGGTCCTGCAGCAGCTCCAGGTTTTCACCTTCTTCCCAGAGTCTCTTCCCACCACCAAGAGACCATTTGAGAGGAAAACCATGGACCGCCAGTCCACCCGAAAGCCACTCCTCGGCATGGTGAGTGGAACCAGAGACACTCATATGGCCTGGTGGTTAAGGTGTAAACTCCTAAGCGAGACCATCTGGGTTCATATCACAGTTCTGACAGAGTCACTCTGTGTCCTTGAGCACGTGCCTCAGTTTCCTCATGTCTAAAGCACCAATAATTGTTCTGGCTACATCATAGAGTTGTTTGGTGATTTAAACGAGTTAAAGTATGTAGAGCACTTAGGCATTGGCCTGGCACATAGTAAGCGTTATTCAAGTAAGCTGTCATCAGCGTTATTGATTGACTCAGCTCTGTCTCTACTGATTAACAATTTATTTATTTATATTTTTATTTTTTGGCCTTGCTGCGTGGCATGTGGGATCTTAGTTCCCTGACCAGGGATTGAACCCACACCCCCTGCATTGGAAGCACAGAGTCAAGTCAAGCACCTCTTGACCACCAGGGAAGTCCCCACCGATTAACAATTTAATGAATTTAAATATTTTATAATAATTGGAGAACAAAGGTTATTGAGTTCAAATCTGTCATGTGCTCATTCTTTCTTTACTTACTATCACCAGGCACCAGCAGTGTGCCAGCTGGTACAGACTTCAAATGCCCCCTGAATAGCAGTCTTGGCACCTTGTCTCTACAGTGAAAGGAGTTAATAAAGGATTAATATTAATACTTTGATCAGTCAATTAAGGGGACTGGTTTAAGGATATGTTAATTCTGCCAGGCTCCCTATTTTTGATCATGTATTAGAAAAAGTAATTATCTGATATACTACCAAACAGTTATTGACTGATCACTTTTTACCTGGAGTTATTTTCATTTTGAACTCAATTATTCCACATTCTGAAAAGTAGGGTAAGACATATGAGGTAATAATCTACAAGACTGCTGATCTGTCTGTGCTTCAGTATTTTTGCCCCATATAATCCCATAGACTGTAGAGCAATTATCTTTCAATTGAAAAATAAGTTAATTTAAAAAATTTTTATATGATTTTAAAGTGAGTGATAGTCACTCAGTTGTGTCTGACTCTCTGCGACTCCAGGGACTATAGCCTGCCAGGCTCCTCTGTCCATTGGATTCTCTAGGCAAGAATACTGGAGTGGGTTGCCATTTCCTCCTCCAATGATCTTTAAAAAGGGAATCACATTTTTTATCACTTTACTTTTTCTTATTTTATGAATATTATTTGCTTTTGGAGATGAGAAGCCAAGATAAGGAAAGTCTCAGTTGTTTAGAATCATATAGCAGAGTACAAGGAGACCTACTCATATTACTTATTTTGATTCTTTAGGTGGCAGTTTAACCACATATTTTTATCACAGGATAACAGATCTAAAACTAAGGATGTGTTAAATTTTCTTACTCTAGCTGTAAAGGCACCAAAACATGACCTAAGAGATTATGGTTTTCTCCCAGCCACACAGGCTGACTCAGTGCAGAAGCATGTTATAGGAGCTGGGAGCAGCTGGCTGTCATTGCCTCCGTTTCTGAGACTGACAGCCTGCGTGATTACATACAACTGCCGGGGTAATAGCCAGGGAGGGGTTTAGATGATGGTATCTCTCATATTACCTTTCAGCCAAGTTACATGCTCCAGTCAGAAGAACTTCGGGCCTCACTCCTGGCAAGGTATCCCCCTGAAAAGCTCTTCCAGGCAGAACGGAACTTCAATGCAGCCCAGGACCTGGATGTCTCACTTTTGGAAGGTGACCTGGTGGGTGTGATCAAGAAGAAGGACCCCATGGGCAGTCAGAACCGCTGGCTGATTGACAACGGAGGTAAGAGCAGTAGAGGACAGATTGTTGTTGTCTAGTTGCTAAGTTGTATCTTGACTTTTTGTGACCCCATGGACTGTAGCCTGCCAGGCTTCTCTGTCCACGGGATTCTCCAGGCAAGAATACTAGAGTGGGTTGCCATGCCCTCCCTCCAGGGGACCTTCCCAACCCAGGGATTGAACCTGTGTCTCTAGCATTGGCAGGCGAATTCTTTACTGCTGAGTCACCAGGGAAGCCCAGCACAGATTACCATGACTCTAAATGAGGAAAAGAGTGACTTGGGCTGTTCCTGAATCCTGTGTAGGCTAGCAGAAAATATGAGAATCTTTGATTAAAGGGAAAAATAACCTTAAAAGTTTTCTCCATCTCTAGAGAGTGTAATACTCAAGTCATTACAGAACAAAACCAGTTTTTTATTTTTTTTGAATTCCAGAGAAGACTCTGTTACTTCCCATGCAAGATCTTGCCTTATTTTACCTTTACAGGCGCTGAATCCTGCCTAAAGGGTCCTTTGCCCTCTCCATCGCTGAGTGAACCATAAGTTTTTTATATGTGTTTTGTGAACATATGAATTTCAGATAGGGTTTTTTGCCCGCTCCCCCCCCCCCCCCCCCCCAAACTGGCCAATACCTTTACCTCATGGCTACTTAGCAACCGACTTTAAACCCAGCTTACAGTGTTGTTGTGTTTTCTTTCATCTCTCTGGTGGGAGTTGGGGTGGGGAAGGGGTGCAGAATTGTTTTTATAAAATACAAAGAATAATGCCAATCCATAATCCTTTTTCCACAGTTCCAAATCCCCCCCCCCCCAAACTGGCCAATAATTTTACCTCATGACTATTTAGGAAATGACTTTAAAAACAGCTTACAGTTTTGTTTTGTTTTGTTTTTTCTTTCTGGTGGGAGTTGGGGTGGGGAAGGGGTGCAGAATTGTTTTTATAAAATACAAAGAATAATGCCAATCCATAATCCTTTTTCCACAGTTCCAAAATCTGAAAAGCTTTGAAAATCAGAGGGTTTTTTTTTTTAAAAGAACTAATTTGCCCAAACCTGCCCTGATCTGAACTCATTTGGTGACAAAACCTGAACAGATGCTGAGAGGCTGTTTATGACCCCTTACTTTTTCCCTTTTGGTGTGACTAGTCATGTTTTGCTATAGAAACCTGAATGGGTTTGACTATGAGCTGTTGACCCAGTCCTAAATCTCCAAATCTGAATTCCATAATACATCTGGCCCCAAGTGTTTTAGAGAAGGATTGTGGCCTCTGTAATAAACACTCATACTCATACCATCAGAACTGAAAACTTTAATATTTCTCAGTTTCTTTAAAAGTGTTTTGTGAATTTTTTTTTTCTCCTTTCCCAGCCCCCTGTTCTGCTTACCCAAAATAATAAAGATTGAAGTGGGAAAAGTAGGACAAAGGAAGGGGCCCTCAGGGTGATGGCAGGTGAGAGCCACTGATAGACTGATGGCCTCTTAGTGAAGATTCAGACTGTTTGAGCTCCCCTGTCCTTGGGTTCCTAGCTCTACAGTCCTGATGAGTAAAGTGGTAGCAGGAAGCTCACAGCATCAGGATCAGTTCTTAGACCCTCTACCCCTTGCCGTCTGCCTAGGGGACTTCTTGCCATCACTCAGAAAAGAGAACAAATGCAAGCTGGCCTTTTTTTAGGTCCAGGAAGCACACTGACGGTCAAGACAGGGATGACTTGCTTAAGTGGAGATTACATACTCCAGGTCCCTGCCTCACAGATAATTATTTCTTATTCAATATTATGACAGTTTTTTTCTATGGGTTAGAGATCTCAGTTCCTAATTTGTGCTGAAGGTTTTAGCTGAGGGCCCTCTGTCCTCATCTTAGGTAATTTACTGACATGAACAAGTGTGTATTCTAACTAATATAAGCAGTTTCCTACTCTAGTAGTATTCCCACTGCATTCCTAAACCAGGGGTGGAGAGGGCAGGGAGGCATATGGGAGGGGCTCTGTCAGGCTAAGGATGGTTTTTAAATCCCTTTTAACCACACTCTTATAGACTTGCACACATCCTTACTGAAGTCTTCCCCTTAGCCTTTGCTCCCAGGGTTTGACGCTCTTGTTAAAATGTCTTCACCTGCTCATGCTCAGGCGTGTGGTCATTTTTGTTACTGTCTCTCAATTCTCAGCAAAGCCCCTTGTCACTCACTTGTTGGACGACAGCCACAGCGTCTCATCTCTGCCATCCGCCTTGCGCCCTGGGGTGGTGTCTGTTCTCTTTGTCTCCCGACATCTTATTCCCTCTCAGTATTGACCTTAAGCCACAGTTTCTCCTCTGTTGATTTCCTCCCGGCTCCTCCTCCCACGAAAAGCTCTTGGTGTTTGTTTTTCCTCCCTGCAGTCACCAAGGGCTTTGTGTACAGCTCCTTCCTGAAGCCCTACAACGCGCGCCGCAGCCACTCCGACGCCTCGGTGGGCAGCCAGTCCCCCTCCGAGTCCGAGCACGGCGGCTCCTCCCCCAGGTTCCCGCGGCGGCAGAACAGCAGCGGCACCTTGACCTTCAACCCCAGCAGCATGGCTGTGTCCTTTAGCTCAGGGCCTTGCCAGAAACAGCCTCCAGATGTGTCTTCCCAGACAGAATTTGACCAAGGAACTCTCAGCACATCCTTAAACTCAGAGGGCAGTCCTTCCAAATGCCCCTCGGACCCAGACTCCCCCTCCCAGCACAGGCCCTGGGACTCGGGCGATGCGGTCAAAGACCTTCACCAGCCTGCCCCTACCCTGAGGAACTCCCGAAGCCCCAGGCATCCAGAAATGGCTGGTTCCTCTGTGCCAGGGCGTAACGGGCAGGGTCGAGACCTTGTAAAAGCCGGTGCAAGAACAGCGCTGTCTCTGGACGACAGACAAGATCAGCCAGCGAGCAGCGAGGCGGAAGGCAACCAGGTGAGTGCGCCCAGTTTCCATGGTTACTGCGCTGCGTGTGGATGCAGGTGATGAGCTCTCAGGAGTGGGCGAGGCCTGCCCCGGCCTGGGGGTGACCCTGGAGATGGGCCCACAGATAAATCCTTAAAGGACTTGCAGAAGCTCACTGCTGTGAGAGTGGGCAGCTCCACTCTAATGGACCTTTGGTGGCTGACTTCACAGGCTGTAGTGTTGTGGAGCGTTTACCTGGTGTTACCATGAAGCTTTTCACACTCTTCCAATGCACTGATTCTTCCATTGGTATAAAGTCTGCTGTTTAACTCATCTACTTAGTTTCTCATTCAAGTAGCTATATTTCTAGAATTCAGGAATAGAATTCTGATTCTGTTTGTTTTTCCTGTTCTTTTTGTAATGGCCCCTTGTTTGTGTCATAAACATTTTAAACCTCCATGTTTTAAAGCCACTTTCACATCCACAACTGAGGAATCCCTGGCCACCTGCCTTTGCTCACTTGCAGCAGTGAGTCTCCAAGTGTGTCTTATTATCAGTGAGCTCTCTGTGGTTCTGTTACAAGCCCAGGACACACATCACAGCTCTGGACCCACCAGCGGGCTGGTGGAAATGGACCAGGAAATGGCCCTTTCTGAGATTGTGACTTTGTGCAAGGAGCTCAGTTCTAAGCTCATCAGCTCCAGTCCTTGAGCACCCTTGGGTGTGTGTTCATCTCTGTGCCCCTGCGGGCCTCATGATTCCTCCTCCTGATCATGGACCACCACCCTCGCTTTGCTTGCTAGCCCTGTTATGGGCATCTAGAGAACATCCTTTCTTACTTTGAGATTAGATGTGGGTTTTTTGTTGTTTTGTAAAGATTTTTAAATACAGAATTTCTGTGTTAGGAGTATGAAAGAGCATCCTCTTGTCTCATCCATCTTCCATACTGACTGAAGCTTTTTTCCCTTTTTAAGGCAACTCTGAAAGAGTAAAATAAGTGAATTTTGGTTTTCTTTAAAGCTGTCCTGTTCATTATGGTAGCCATCAGCCATATGTAGCTATTTAAATTTAAGTTAGGTAAAGTTAAACAAAAGGTAAAATTCAGTTCTTTCATCTCACTAGCTGTTATTTCAAGTGCTCAATGGCCGTGTGTCTAGGGGCTGCCGTAATGGATAGTCCAGATCAGATGGTACCCGTCACCGTGGGAAGTTCTGTTGGGTAACCTTGCTCTCACATGTTTCCCATTTCCTAACTCACTTTCTCTCCCTCTCACAGGTCTATTTTGCTGTTTATACCTTCAAGGCACGGAACCCAAATGAACTGAGTGTGTCAGCCAATCAGAGACTCAAGATCCTAGAGTTTAAAGATGTTACAGGAAATACAGAATGGTGGTTAGCTGAAGTCAATGGGAAAAAGGGTTACGTTCCATCCAATTATATCCGCAAAGCTGAGTACACCTGAGCCTGTTCTGCTTCCCATTCATCCTTGCTGCCTTCACTTCCTTCTGCTGAAGGGTTCTGGTATCCACCAAGAGGGCTCCTGCTCCTGAGACACTGGCCCTGCCACATTGCTTAACCATGGCACCAGTGGGGCCTAAGTCTTGTTCTCTTCGATTGGGTTGTCAGCCTTGATGCTCACTAGAATCTCTAGAATTCGAAATGGACCCTGGTGCTTACAAGTGATTCAGTGACCGTGAAAAGAGAAGCAAGTCCTGGGGTCAGCCTTTGGCAATGAGAGATTTCCAATCAGAAGACCAGTATCCAATATATGCTAGAAGCTGTGCTATAGCATTAGAAGAAGTTGATGTTGGTTGTGCCGTATTGAGTGGGGTGGCCCCATGCTCCATGATCAACTGACCAGAAACCGACTTGGATGAATTCTCTGGGAGCCCTTTCAGGCTGCACCTCTGCATATGCCAAGAAGTTTGTCAACATTGTACCAAATCTGGTGTTTTAAAACCTCAGTGTCTGGCACATATTTGCACACACACCCCTTATTTCTAAACATCCCTAAAACACTGTCATCTGTCATCTTTTTCTTATTTATTTCACCACATTTCCAGATTGGGCAAAATTCAACTATTGAGTCAGCTAAAAACGTTCATTTGGGTTTTTCTGTAAGATCTTATGGAAAAACCCAGACGAACTTTCTGGCCAACCTAGTACTACTTTCTCCTTTTAAAAAATGTTTAGAATCTTCCTTTCCCCTGAACCTTCATAGGAAAGGTTCTCTTCACATTAGGTGCTATCCTCCACACCTTGCTGACACCATCTCTATATGGTCTGTGTACGATAATGTTTCCTGGCTTCTTTGCTGAAGCTCAATAGTTGATAGACTTTCTTGGGAGAGCGGAATCGGAGCTCCTACTGTTCCCTTCGGGGGATTCATTCTGCAGTGGGCTGAAGCCAGTCCAGCCCAGAGGGAGACTGGATGCCTCTCCCTTCCTCCAAGCACACTACTGTCCACAGATGAAGAGACGTAACGCACGTTTATCTCATTTGAATTTGGATAAGCAGTCCCGAAGTAGCTTATCCTAGACTTGGAAATAAGCATTTTCTGTTTCATCAGCCCCCCTGCTTCAGAGACCATGGTCTAAGCCAAACAGAATCTAAAGTGCCTGATTGTACCTCCTCCACCTCAGGAAGATGTTTACTGATCCTAACACTAAGGTCCCCCCTGAAGTTTGTATGTGAGCAGGGCTCTTATTCTTAAGGTCTGCCCCAGATTGAAAGCTTGCCTTGGAACAGGAAATCATGAATTTTGTCTTGCAAGAAAGGGCATGAAGAATAGCGTACAGCCCTTGCTCCTCCAAATGCACCTTCACCTTAAAGTCTTGATCAGTCGGGAGACACCCGGGGGCTCCTTGGCAACCCCGGGGTCTGCTGGTCGATCAGAAGGCAGCAACACAAGTCTCTCGTGAATAGTGTTTATATCTAGAGATGTTTATATTTAAGTAGTTATTTTATAAATAAAAGCATTTTAAGGGCCATAAGTATGTTTTCTTGACTTTCTTCCCAGTTTAGCCTGAACTTCTCGTGTTTCTGGGGGTAACTTCTTGACGATTCAGTGATGCTCAGGTTTCAAGAAGTGGGGGAGGCTAAGTGAAGAAACTCGGGTCAGGAATTCCTTTTTAGATATGATTTCAGCAGAAACACTCTATACTCAAAATAAGTCCATGTTGCAATTTAAGCCATTTCATTCAGTAAAATCCTAGCAAAACAGAAGAGCTGGGAATTCTAAGAGGTATTTGCCAGCCATTACAGATATGGAAACTGATGCACTAGTGCTGAATTAACAAGGTCACACAGGTTGGGTGTGGGAGCGGGGAGAAGTAGCAGGAGCACTGGCGGAGGTGGTGACAATGAAGCAGTTGCCCGAGACGGTTAAGGAATAGAGAACGTGGGTGAAAGGTAGACTGGAGAAAAACTTATATGCCAGCAAGGCTAACTTATTTTATGAAGAAGGAAGATGGGGTCCAGTGACATTGTGACCTGCCCAAGTCTTACATCAAGGGTTTGATGGAGCCTGAATCTAAAGTTGGGTCAGGCTGAGCCTTTCCACCTTGTTCTGGAGCCAGACTGACTTCAGACACTCAAGTGCATTGTGACCTTGGCAACTTACCCAACCTGGGCTTCAGCTTCCTTTTCTAACATAGAGATAATACTTGTTCTCTGCCTCATGGGGTTGTGGTAAGGGTGAGATGAGTTAGTACATGGAGAGTGCTAGGACATTGCCTGGCACATAGCAAGCAGACTAGAGAGCCCTGAGGTCCAGGTCAAGGAATTTAGATTTGACGAGAAACTTCTTGTTACCTAAGCTTCCTAAGCAGATTGCCTGTTTATAGGAAAGCTTAATGATAGCAGGATGATTTGAGGGGAGGACAGATCAAAGGTCAGAAAAATCTAATTTAAAAACTAACTGGCTTGGATTTCAGATTGCTTGTGAATGGAAAAAAGCAGCATCCTATAAAGATGAAATTAGAGAAATGGAATCCTTAACAAAGGGGAGATCATTGGGATGGGAGCAAGTTTATGAAAAGATAAGTATTATTTAAACATTAGCATGTCTGCTAGGTCTTACTTTTTCTTTACTTTTATTATTCTGTTGAAATGTAGTTGATGTACAATATTTCAGGTATACAGAAAAGTGATTCAGTTATATATGTTATCAGATTTTTTTTTTACTATAGGTTATTACAAGATGTTGACTTTAGTTCTCTGAGCTAATACAGTAGGTCCCTGTTGTTTATCTGTTTTATATATAGTGATGTGTATTTGTTAATTCCAAATTCCCAATTTATCTCTTCCCCCTCTCCCCTTTGGTAGACCATAAGTTATTTTCTATGTCTGTGAGTCTATTTCTGTTTTGTAAATAAGTTCATTTTTATCATTATTTTAGTTTCCACATATAAGTGATATGGTATGATGTTCATCTTTTTCTGACTTAATATGATATTCTTTAGGTCCATCTGTGTTGCTGCAAATGGCTTTATTTCATTCTGTTTTTGTGGCTGAGTAGTATTCTGTTGTCTGTATGCCCCATATCTTTATCCACTCATCTGTTAATGGACACTTTGGTTATTACCATGTCTTGACTGTTTTGTACATAGTGCTGCTGTGAACATTGGGGTACATGTATCTTCTCAAATTAAGAATTTTTGTGTTTTCCAGATACACATGCCCAGAAATTGGATTGCTGGATCATATGATAGCCCAATTTTTAGGTTTTTTGTTTTTTATGTATCACTGTTTATTTTGAAGATGACAAATGGAAGTTCAAGGAAAATTAAGCAAGTAGCTCTAGACCACACAGCTAGCAAATGGCAGAGCAGGGCTGCAAGACCTGGGTTCTCCCACTTACTGCATGTACCGTAAGTAGGATGAGGTGCTGGCCAGGCTGCAAGCTGAGCCAGCTGTGCCTGGGTAGGGCAAACCAGACAAGGTAGATGTCCTTAGTGAGTTTTCAGTCCATGGCTGATGAAGATGCCAGGAAGTTCTCTGGTTCTGCTTGGAAGGGCAGCTGCGTGTCTCTTCCCTATACTCAGCAGGCTCCTGTCCTTGCTGGCTCAGGCTGCCCCCCACCTTGCCAGGGCTCTCTGGTAGAGGTTGCACTCAGGGTGAGCTGCGGCTGCTGCTGCACTGGGAGAACAAGGGCTTCACCTACTGGAACTGTTCAGTTCAGTTGCTCAGTCATGTCCGACTCGGCGACCCCATGAATCCCAGCACACCAGGCCTCAAACCCATGTCCATCGAGTCGGTAATGCCATCCAGCCATCTCATCCTCTGTCATCCCCTTCTCTTCCTGCCCCCAATCCCTCCCAGCATCAGGGTCTTTTCCAATGAGTCAGCTCTTCGCATGAGGTGGCCAAACTACTGTACCAGGCTCCCTTATTGTCGTCTTCCTCCCCTGTGTCCATCATCAGTGGGGCTTGGTCAGGCTGGGAGAGGCTACGGGATGCTCCTCCCAGAGCAGGCCGGGCTGTGTTCCCTTGCCAGCCTACTGTCCTGTGTGTCTCCTCAGGTGAGGATCCTGCACATTTCCTCCTATTTTTTAGTTTGTTTCAGGAATCTCCATACTGTTCTCCATAGTGGCTGCTAGGTCTTGCCTGTCTAAGTGTGGTCTTCAGCCCAGCAGCATCACCACCCATGTAACCTGGGAGCTCACTGGAAATGGAGGCCCCACCCTAAACTTTTCTGAGTCAAGGTTGCAGGTGATTTGTATGCACATTAAACTTGAGAAGCACCTGTGTAGGCTGTTTTTTTAAAGAACTTTCTACTATTGGAAAGTCAGTCATGTCCAACTCTTTGCGACCCCATAGACAGTACAGTCCCTGGAATTCTCCAGGCCAGAATACTGGAGTGAGTAGCCTTTCCCTTCTCCAGGGGATCGTCCCAACCCAGTGATCAAACCCAGGTCTCCTGCATTGCAAGCGGATTCTTTACCAGCTGAGCCACAAGTGAAGGAAATTTCCATGGACAGAAGAACCTTGTAGGCGTACAGTCCATGGGGTTGCAGAGAGTCGGACATGACTGAGTGACTTCCCTTCACTTCACTATTGGAAAAGTGTGTATTAGTCTCCCAGTCATGGCTGACTTTGCAAGCCTATAGACTGTAGCACATCAGTCTGCTCTGTCCATGGAATTCTCCAGGCACGAATACAGGAGTGGGTTGCCATTCCCTTCTCCAGGGGATTTTCCTGACCCAGCGATCGAGCCCAGGTCTCCTGCATTGCAGGCAGGTTTTTAGCCATCTGAGCCACGAGGGAAGCCTACCGTTGGAAGAGTAGGAATTACAAAAAAAAAAAAATGGAAGGAAGGGGTGTCATATGTTTCTGACACAACAGAAATTTCCAAATCCAGTTTGCCTGCTTAATTCCTGTCACGAGTGTGCTCCCTTTTCTGCTTGGAGGCAGCTCTTCAGTGACGCTTTCTCCCAAGTGTCCTTGGAGAACAGGGAGTGGTGGTGGGAATCTCCTGTCATCTAAAGTGTGTAGATTACGGATCTCCCTCTCAAGATTATTGTGAGAACAAATAAGATGATTCTGCAAATTTTTGTGAACTGTGAGCTCTAGAATTACATGGTTTTAATAAAGACTGAATTTTGTTTCACTCTAACTGTGAAGCTGGAACTCTGTGTCCGTTGTTTCAGGGTCAGGAGTGCAAACAGGCTCCAAAAGAACATAGGTGTGCTCTGACTTGTGTTTCACTTGCAGAACCTTAGCCCTAAGGACTGAGAAACCTTGAGTATCATATAACTTACTCCTAAATCATCTCTCTGGTCATTACAACTCACAGGCTTTTTTTTTTTTTTTCAGTTATTTTTGGCTATGCTGGCTCCTTACTGCTGCTTGGGCTTTCTATAGTTGTGGCGAGTAGGGGCTACTCTCTAGTTGGGGTGTGTGGGCTTCTCATTGCAGTGGCTTCTCTTGTTATGGAGCACGGACTCTAGGACTTGCAGACTTCAGTAGTTGCAGCTCCCGGGCTCCAGAACACAGGTTCAATAGTTGTGGTGCATGGGCTTTGCTCCATGGCATGTGGGATCATCCTGGATCAGGGATTGAAGCCGTGTCTCCCACATTGGCAGGCGGATTCTTAACCACTGAACTGCCAGGGAAGCCCAACTCAGGATTTTAAACTCTCCCATCTATTAGTACATCGCACTGATGAAGCTCTCACATTTCACATGGGCTGGGTGAGGCAGACGGTTCAGTACCACAGAGCAGGGCTCGTCTCTCCAATCTCTAGTTTGCGTTGTTTCCTTTCATGCAGCTCACTGTGGTTGTCAGGGGGAGATCCACAACAGTGTTTTGTGTGTATCAGTATGGGAGTCATCTACAACAGATTGCCACCCTTGGAAGCTGCCTAGGAGTATCTTATTCCTTACCACCACTCACAGGTGACCTGAAGGAACAGACAGTGCTTTCCCAGAGGTAAGGTGTGTAGTGGCAGAAGCAAGCAGTGTCTCCACTCAGGAACATTTCTTGGGAGCAAGTGGACTTGTGGGGGTCTACAGAATCAGCAGGACCATGTCACCAGGGCTAGCCGCCTGTCTGGGTGTCCCCTGGGACTCCAAGAGGAGTCAAGCTCTAATCTTTTCCCGTGGCAGCCCTTCCCCGGGTTCAGGACCAGCGAAGCTGAAAGATACCTGATCTCTCATGGTCGCCTCCTGTCATCAGCATCACCGTGACTCTTGAAAAAAGGACCTTCCTGCAGCCTCTCAGGTGAGATCAAAATTTTACCTCCAAATAGGATTAAGCTGAATAAGATCTTTGCAATTTGATAGAAGGGGTGAGAGCCATGAGCATTGAATTCAATACTTCCAGCTGGACTTTAAAAGGTAGCTTTTTTTTTTTTAAATGTATATTTGCGCCGCCTCTCAGTTGCAGCAAGTGGGATCTTTGATCTTCTTTGTGACATGCGGGGTCTTTAGTTGCAGTGTGTGGGGTTTAGCTCTCCGACCAGGAATCGAATCCAGGACCCCTATATTGGGAAC